ACGGGGAGACTTTTTACAGCCGCCACACGGCACAAATAACACGGATGTGATCTTAAAGTAGATAAATACAGAATCCCTAAAGAAAGCCCAACACGGCAAAATTGAAAATGTTGCAGGCTCGGTTTGATTGAGCCTGTTCATGGACGGTACTGGAAAGTGCAAGTTACCGTCCACGCCCCCTAGCACCGGCTTAAGCAGAATTCAACATTTAAACATGAAATAGTAAAATTTTGAATTTAGAAACATCCGCAGATTTGTTCATAAAGTCTTGTTGTCGTAACTCAGATAATAGATAAAATTTAATTGTACTTTAAATCCTTGAAGATCGTTCAGCACGGCATTATTGCTGTGTATACATGTTATGTGGTACTTTCAGTTTTTTCTATTTGGCCTTCTTGAACTTAGGTGGTTCCAGTACTGTATAATCACCCTTAGGATATGTTGCCTGCTTTTTAAATTTGTCTTTTGACGTATCATCTGTGATATGCAGGCTTTATAACCTCAGGTCCACAGGTGGCAGTATCAGTGTTTGGACACCCACCCCTATCTGCCCCTGGACCCCTACTACAACCCTGAAAAAAATTCAACACTCTAAGGCTTAACATTTTCAATTTTGCCGTGTTGGGCTTTCTTTAGGGATTCTATATTTATCTATTTTACTATAAGGTACCAAATACAAAATTATATAAAAAAAAATTCCACTATTAAAATTATAGTATAACTATAATTTTGATAGTGGAATTTTTTTTTTTTTATATAATTTCATCGGTGGTTTTGTATTTGGTACCTTATAGTAAGCCTTAAAGTGTTGAATTATTTTTTTTCAGGGTTGTAGGAGGGGTCCAGGGGCAGATAGGTGTGAGTGTCCAAACACTGATACTGCAACCTGTGCTCAGATCCCCTGTCAAAATTCCTTTTTAATTTAGTTACGCCCATTGTTTTCTCGTTTAGGGCAATAGCATTCTTTTACTTGGGGACCATACGCCGCTTTTTATGGAATGGCACTACTGTGTCACATTGAATGTTCCATGATAACCGCCGTATGAACACGTCTGCGGATGTTTCTAAATTCAAAATTTCACCTTTTACACATTTTAAATGAAGCCGGTGCTAGGGGGCGTGGACGGTAACTTGCACTTTCCAGTACCGTCCCTGAACAGGCTCAATCAAACCGAGCCTGCAACATTTTCAATTTTGTTGTGTTGGACTTTGTTTAAGGATTCTGTTTTTCTCTATTTTATTCTTTTACGTCTAGGTATAAGCAGGCCTGATTTATGTGGAGATTACAGCTGTGGCATGCAGGCTTCATAACCCCTTTCAAAATTCCATTTTAGTTAGTTCCGCACATTGTTTTCTTGTTTAGGGCACACACATTCTTGTACTTGGGGACCATACGCCGCTTGTTATGGAATGACACTAACGTGTCACATTGAAAGTTCCATGATAACCACATTATAAGCGCGTCTGCGGTTGTTTCTAAATCCAAAAGTTCACCATAACCATGATTAAATGTTGAATTCTGCTTAATTCGGTGCTAGGGGCGTGTACTGTAGTTTGCACTTGACAGTGCCGTTCATGAACAGGCTCAATCAAACAGAGCCTGCAACATTTTCGTTTTTGACATTTTGTGCGTTCTTAATTGTTTAAATTTCGTCTTCTGTCTTGGTAAGTGATGTTTTTGTTGCTCTGTCATACTTTAAGGCATCGAGTACTTTGGTTATGGTAATTAGGCTGTACCTTAATTGTACATATTTACACGATCATGTATGTATGTATTTTATTTATTTCGTCTAATGTAACCATAACAATTGTTAGAATTTAATTCACTTAGCGGGGATTTATTTTAGTTACACTGTGTCGTCATATAGGAACATAACAGTAGTGGTAATTGCAAGTTACCTACCATCCACACCCTTTAGCACCGGCTTAAGCAGAATTCTCAATTTTACATATGTTACACTTTTAAAAGAAGTGAAGACACGTCCATAGATGTATTCATACGAAAGTGATCATGGTATCTTCAATGTAAAATGTTCGTACAATCATATTGTCCACAAGAAATAGAGAACAATGGGCGAAACTAAATAAAATGGATTTATAAAACGGGATCAAAGGTCAAAATTTAATCGTTAAAAGCAGGTTACATATCCAAAGGGTTAGTATACACTATTTATCCAAAGGGTTATTATACACTATTTAAAAAAGAAATACTAGAACCACACAACTCGAAAAATGTCAAATAGAAGGAATTAAAATAACACAAACACAATTATAATGCCAAGCTGAACGATTTTCATATAATCATTATGTTTTATCCGACTACTATGTATGTTTCATGAAACCGAAGGTCAACAGAGTAATGATCTGTATGTAGATAAAATATTAAACTTTTTAAATGACTATTTTGTCAATTTAAGAAACTTTAAAAAATAAATTCCATTTCATTTGACATAAAAAGGTTTGTAATTACATATAAATAAATGAGCAGAGGTTGTTTTGCATACATTGTACTTTTCAAATCCTTAGGTGAACTTACAACAAAATCATGTTATTAAATCGGAAACACATTTTTGAACAGATTTTTTTAGATCTGACAGGATCTGTAATAGTAATACACTTTGAAAATCACCTTATGTTTATTAACTTGCGTAAATACTGTCATTCTATATAATCAGTATAATCGAGGGGTCAGAGTTTCTTTAGATTTTTATCCATAGTGGGTGGGGTACGATTTGAACAATAATTCATTAAATAACTAGAAGCAAATTATCATATTCCTGGTTTATTATGTTAATTAGTTACATGGACTGCACTAAAGAAGCTATAATTTGACAGAAACACAAAATTTGGGGAAATAATTGATAGAACAAATAAGTACCAGTTACAAACCTTACATTGAAAAACTATTTTAATGTAACGGCTCTCATTTTATATGTCTAAATGCATAATTACAAAGAAAGATTTCTTAAGATATGATATGAATGCATTAAAGCATTACTCTCATGAGTTCATTACAATAGTGGAATAACAAAATAAGTAATAAATATTTCTCCGTTTAAGCTAAGACAAGAGTATCATAGCAAAACCCCATATGTTTAGCATTATTTTGCTTAATTACGTATAAAAAAGCAAAAAGCAATCTGTTTTCTCCAACAAAATTAAATCTCTTCGTATAAAACGCTTTAAATGATATATTCCGTGCAAAAATTTCACTTGAAATACAAAAGTGGAAACAAATATGAGCAAATATTAATATTCTAGAATTTTTAGGGATTTGGCGGCCATCTTTGACGCCATCTTGGATTTTTAAGCTACGCATCGGACTTGAACCTAATGAATATTAATTCCGGAAACTACAGACCAAGACGAACAATTTGGTATATAAAACTTGCTGTTGGCTGACATAGACCACTTCGGTGTCATTTTACCCTATGAATTTGCAGCACTAATTCTTGCACACTTGACTTACCTTTTTTGAAGTGCATTGATCCATACAATATTTACAACGGTTCCGAAATAAATAAACTTCAACAGTATAATTATAGTTATTTAATATTTTATATGGATGTCAAAATACTATTTTGTTTACAATTTGCTACCTTTACAACACATAACTGCATTCTCAGTGCTACCTTTTCAGTATTTAAAAATCTTACATGCTCTTTATCCATTATTAAATTATTATTAAACAAATGGTTGACATTTCTACAGAATTGGAAAAAATACGGATTTCTGAGGCATTCTGCTAGAAAACAATATGTGTAGTTTCATATTGCGGATAAAACATGGTGTTTATTTGTTTGGGTCGTCAGACCAAACAAATAATGGTAGCGAAATTTCAGACTCTAATGCTGTTAATTGCAAATGCTGAAAGTAGTCCGCTTTTTTTTGAAGCGGTTACTTCCCTTAATATGTACACTTACGCCGAAAAATTCAGGGGAGATCACTGCGTAAAGATGGTCAAATGACATTTTGCATTAATTTTCAAGCAAAATAATTCCCGAATGGTCAAAGATTTCTAATATTGTTTTATTCTTTATAGATATACATGCTTATAGTAAGCTCCATGATTATTTACATCTGTGTAGCGTCATTACAAACCCTAATTTAGAATAATATGGTTTTCTTCAGACCGTTTACATATAAATTAACCTTGCCCGACGGGTTTGCGCGCTCGCTTAGGAAGCGAGAGGTCTGGAGTTCAAATCCCAGTTAAGGCAACTCATTTTTTTCAAATTGTATAAGTCAAATAAACATTGGATTGAATATCAGTGTTGCAATTAGTCTTATAGCCAATTTACTACAATTAAAACGCTGAAAAGCATTGGTGGCACTATACAAAAACAAATTGGTTTATAATCTCACAACCTGCACCTTTCTTACATTCTGAGACCCAAACAAATTCAGCTGTGCTTTGATTATCTATTCAACGTAAACGTTTTTGGTTTTTGGGAAGCCTAACATCGTTTGTCTGTCCGGCCGTGCGTCAGTGCATGATATTTTCCGGCATTCACCAAAAGTGATTATAAATGGAACTTCTTAAAAAAAAGACGGGGGGGGGGGATATGTAAAACACTGCATTGATAAATTTTCTTTGCCTGTTTCAAGTAAATGTTCTCCATGCATAGTCAGTCAAAATAAAACATGTCTTTCTTTTTTGAAAGCATTTGTGTTTAACTAACCGTTAATATATTTGAACAATAAACCAGAGAAAACATGAAAATAATATTTCACTTTCTTCAAATCTTATTTATACCACACAATTTAATGTTTTATTAATTCAATTTCGGGTTTACCCTTACAGTATGCAAACTACAAACCCTAATAAATCGGTTAATATCAACTGACTTCAGATTATTTCGTAATTAACCCGAAGTCCACCTCGGAATTTCATATTTGTCACGTGCAAGGGTGTTTCCCACTATGACGTAATTCTTTGACAAAGTATCAATGTGGCGACCCATATGCACATCAATGTCTTTTATTTTAAATACTTTCAGATGCCAAGCTGCGTTAAAAGAGGCGATGAGTTCGAAGCCTGTGTAACCTTCAAAAACCCTTTGCAGGAGGAGCTGACCGACTGTAAGGCCGGCTATGAAGGTCGTGGGTTCAAGCACGTGACCGGAGAACCGCAGGATAAGTAAGAAAATTAAGCGGATATGAAATTAACTTTTTATCTCTTAAGGCATCATATTAAAACGTGGTTACTAGATTATATAGAATGGTCTGCGAACACGAATTAACGTGGTATGATATGCACTGATTCAATTCTAAAAATATATGTCTTGGATTGAAAATAATTCGATAATCATATATTAATACATAGAACATATCAGCCGCGTCATGACAAAACCAACAAAATGGATTTGCGACCAGCATGGATCCAGACCAGCCTGCGCATTCGCGCAGTCTGATCAGGATCCATGCTGTTCGCTTACCAACTCTATTACAAGTAGAGAAACTGATAGCGAACAGCATGGATCCTGATCAGACTGCGCGGACGCGCAGGCTGGTCTGGATCCATGCTGGTCGCAAACCCATTATGTTTGTTTTGTCGTGACGCGGCTTATATACATGTAGATGCATCCGTCAGAGTCGGGAAAAAGACCAGGCTTTATGGATTCTATTTACATTTATTTTTGACCACATGCAAACTATTTATATAGTATATGTCTTGCTGTATATAACATGTTATTACGAAATGGAACACTTAAGTATCATTGCTGGAAAAAAATATCCTATTTTAAGTAATAACTTATCATAGATTAAATGTACTTTGTTATCATTTTACAGCGTTCCGGTCATGGGGAAATTTGAGAAGATTTACAAATTGAAGACAAAAACAAAAGGCAATATTGCCCTTACATTCAAGTTCACGTCCAAACAGCTTCATTACATATCTGGAGCCGCCGAAGTGAAAGTTGAATAAGCTTTCAAAAACAGATTAATGTAAAATGTTAACTCATTGATTTAGTTGTCTGAAACCTTTGTAACGGTTTGTAAGCAAAATTTTTGAGGTAGGAGTTAATTCAATTAACAAAATAAATGTTGTAAATAAAACTTGTTTTTTTAAAAAGAAGATTGTTTGATAAAATAAAGATTTACAGTCTTAGTGTTGTTTGATACCATGTTGTTCTCAAGGAAAATACACGTGTAAGTCTATATTATAGTAATTTTTTGCAAACTGTGACAACTTCTTGTGATTTTTTATAAACATGAAAAACTAACTATTTTTAATAATAATTTTTCACTTTAAATAAAACAAGGACTGTTGACCTAAAGAAGCTAATGCGCATGCGCTAGAACTTTGTATTGTATTCACGTGGGCATGTGATAATCACAAACGCTGTCTACTCCGGAAGTGATAAGGCTAGCCGTTGTCACCAGTTGATACAGTGTGGCTTTCACATGTTTACGTGACTGTTATTTTTTATTATTATAAATGTATTTGTCTCATGTTTTTGTACATGTGTTATAAAAATGCAAACTGAAATATAAATTCAATAAAACTTGAAACAGCTTGACCACACTCGGCACTGACACATGACTTACTTCAATTTTACATCTTGATATCCGTTATTTGATTACTGACAGTTTAAAAAAAATGAAGCTAAACTTGAGGTTTAAAATTTGAGTAAGCAAAAAAAAAAACAGCAGCAACGTTGACAACGATTACACTGCTTGTTTGAATTGGATTTAACTTTTTTAATAATCTATTTATAATCCATTTATTTATATTTTTCTTACGTTATTTTCTCACTTTCGTGTATATGTGGATAAAATAAATACCACTCACAGTCTTGTTTTGTTTTTGAGTTATTTTTGCATATTGTCTTTACATTAATTGAACACATAAACCACGGCGTATGAGTGTAATAAATTACTTTGCTGTTTCTATCATCATATATGTGTTTGTTCAATACTAAATTTATAGAACTCCCAGTCCCTCTACTGTCTTAGAAGGCGTTGTGGATCTGGGCTGGTATGGCCCACCGCTTTTTTCTTCTTTTTATTACGTAGAGCACCCAATATCCACTGACTGACCAAAACAGTACAATTCCTATGAGTAGAATATGACTACTGAAAGATTCTGAAGATAAACTAATACTAGTACTGCATAAATAGATCTACATCCGAATGAATTTAAATATTTCAATACAAAAAAAATCATATTTATTTAATGTTTAGAGATGATCTGACATTCACTATCAAATGGCCTGATTCCTGATGAACGAGACTTTCAGACTCCCGATGACGGACTCAAAACCAAGCTGAAAAACAAAATCCATGAGTTACACGCAAAAGACATGTACGATGACTGGATTTAATTTATTTGGCATAATCAATAGTAATACTTTGGCGTAAAAGCAAATCATAAATAAGAAATGGAAATAGACATAGAATTATAACATGTATAATGCATTGGTTTAAAGCATGTATTATAATAATGACATTTGCTATGAAATTTACAACTTGCGCTAAAATATGCATTTTTATTTAAATATATAAAAGGCTTGTGTAATTATCATTATTAAGTATGATTTTTTAAATAAAGTACTGTTGTTTTTTTTAATTCGGCACTATTTTTGAAAAGATATATCTTTATTCTTCAATCCTTTGACAGCATGTGGCAATATTTTTTCGTCTTTGCTTCTAGTTAAAAGCCAAGCCAGTCTGTAAAGCCGCGCAGAGAAACCTTGCTCAGCCTTTGTCAATTTTCAGTAATTATTTTTTTTTGTTGATGATGTTGTTTTAAAGACCAAGTTCAGTAAAGGGAGAAAGAATAAATAATACTATGATGATATGAAGTGATAAATAAGTAGATGATAAAAAATCTGTACAATATATATAGACATTCATTTATGGTATCATAGCATGTCATGTACATGTTAATAAGAATATAGGGCTTTGAAAAAAATACTACAAATAAATACCATTAAAGATAACTGTTCTATAAACCCCGCTTAATGGGCGTGGTTATATGACCTTTTAACTGAACTATACTACCGTCAAATTACTTTTCAAAGTGACAACATGAAAACAATACATGTATAATAATATCTTACATGCTTAAAAGATTACAGTTTGTATATTAAATATATCACATCAAACAGTAGTACATGTATAAATATATATATACATACATTAAACTTTATAAGCTAATCAAACAATAATATAATGTAGATATTTACAAAACTGACACACACATACGCGCGCGCGCACGCACGCGCGCGCGAATACATACACACACGTCTATGGACTAGTTGAAAACTTTTCAATCACTTCTTGTTTCTTTAGGTTGACAACTAAACTATACGAGTTCATTTGACAGATATGTGCGTTGAAACTAAACAATTTTCGGATATTGCAAACATTTGGGCACATATCGTGATATAACATAACTTTCTTCGGACATTATGTGTATACAGACATTTTGTTATAGATTAGATGATGACGACATTAATTTATCAAAAATCGGTTAATTTGGATGATTAAGGGGCAAACAGAATAAATTTCAGTAACTAAATGATCAGCAATAACTCACCTTACTTCTTTCGGAATAGATATGATCACATACTATTAGAACAATTTTTAAAACCTTACACATCTGGTTCCAGCAAAAGTCTTAAGGGAAAAGTACAGATCCCGTGTAATAAATGGTGTTCATTTGCTTAACACACCGTGCGTCATTATCAGTTTGTACAGGCATTATCCAAGTTCAGGATTTTTAGATGGAACAATAATGGAATTCTTATATACAAGTATTAGAAAATCTATATATATTAATTGCGATTTATAATAAGCGTCGAGATTTATGGCCACAACACAGCTCATAGTTAACGGTTCCCGCGTTATTTTCAACTCATGTGTATACCAATGTAAATTTCAAAATATAGCAATTTTAAACAACCGAAATATCCGACATTCCTATTTTTTAATTTGTGCTATTCATTGTTAAAATCACAAATCATCGTTGATACTTTGTAGTGTATTCGCTATTTTGAGTTTTAAATCGCTTTACACACTTGGTATTGTTGTCGGTAAAGTTGTTGTTTTTGTTGATCCATCAGTGGTTGTACCTGATGTTGAGCCAGCAAGTGTTGTGTCCACAGTTGTTGTTTCTACAGTTGTTGTTGCTGTTGTCGTGATTGAACATGAGAGTTCATCCGAAAAATCGAAACAGTCCATATATCCATCACATAATTGTTTAAGCGAAATACAGTTGGTCCCAACGTCACACCAAAACGGACCTATAAAATATGACCACCTTTTAATGAATATAACTAGCGAAAATACTACTGCAGTACACAAATGCTCATCACTAGGGGAAAACTACTGCAATACATGAATGTTCCTCACTTGCGGAAAAGAAACTATTGCAGTACATTAATGCTCATCACTAGCGGGAAAAATACTGCAATACATGAATGATCATCACTAGCGAAATGAAAACTTCTGCAATATGAATGCTCCTTATTTGGGGAAAATACTTTTTCAATACAGGAATGCTCTTCACTATCGGAATATACTACTTCAGTTTATTAATGCTCATTACTAGCGAAAAAAAACTACTTGCATATTTGCTAGCGTACTAGAAAAAAATACCACTGCAGTATTTAAATGCACATTACAGCGAAAATTCTGAAATACTTCTGCAAAATTTGAATGCACATCACAAACGAAAATACAGTACTTGTTTGCATATTATCACCGGAACATCACTAGAGTAAATGAATTTTTATTACATGCGGAAATACTACAGCAGTATTTGAATATGCATAACTGCAGATTATTAGTTGTTATACTTCAGTTATTGAATGTGCATTGATAGCGAAAATGCGACTGAAGTAATTGAATGTGCATTACTAGCTACAAACTATTGCAGTAATTGAACGTGCATTGCTAGCGACAATACATGTTATACTCATCCCATGCAAATATGATAATGATTTTTATACCGTTCTGTGTGGGAGCATAACTTGAAATAATTGAATTTGCATCACAAGCGGTATTGCAAATGTAGTATTTGAATGAATATATCTGCAAATTACTGGCTGCAATACTACTGTAAGCATTGAACGTGCATTTCACTGCTGTAAACAAAAACACATTACAAGCGAATACTTCAGCATACTGAATACTACAGCAGTAATTGAGCATGAATGATAGTGGACATTACACTTCTGTTCTTAAATGTGCATTACTAGCTACAAACTATCGCAGTAATTGAACGTGCATTACTAGCTACAAACTATTGCAGTAATTGAACGTGCATTGCTAGCGGCGATACTACTGCAATAATTAGATGTGCATTACTAGCTGCCATATTACTGCATTACTAACGGTGATATTTTAACAATAATTATTTCATCACGCAAGGCTTGATATTAAAGCAGTAAACAAACATTAGAATGGATTTTATCAGTGTTCACACTTTTACTTACAGTCTGTCGTTTTTGGACCGCTTGTTGTTGTTGATGTTGTTGTTGTCCTCATGTTTGACTTTGTTGTCGTTTTCGTTGAAGGATCGAAAAGTACTGTAACAGCGCAAATTAAAGTTTTCATAAATCTTATACTTTCATACATCTAAAACTGAGACAGTAGCACGACACATTTATTGGTATTCATTAAATAAATAAATAAAAAAATAGTTTTGTTCAACTTAACCCGGAGTATATGCCAGTTGGTCAGAATATGACTTTTACCCTTATGTAAATTTCTTTTTTGTCTTTTTCACGGGGGTGGAACGCCATATGGATCTAAAAACTGAGCAACTGTAAAAATGTATGTGAATTTCCAAGATGTGAGCTATAACTCGATATGTGAAGGAGAAAATAGGTCAATCACAGGGTGGTAAGTTTTCAACTTTTTCAACATTTATATAAAATTCAAGATTTTTTAAAGAAAACCTAAATGAGATTCTACCCTCCTGTCTTTTCACTATATTAAACTGAAGTTTTTTGACGAGAAAGGATCGAAAATATTTTTCAAGAATTTTGTATAACCAGATGTATGTCTAGAAAATTAACTCATGTACAAAACTTCAAATCATTCGCTCACTCCGTTTCCCAGATATAATCAATTTTATTGTGAAATTGGCCCAATGAATGAAAACCGTTTAAACGCTTTTCACTCAAATCGGCCTAAAATCGCATAAAAATCGATTATCATTTTCATACCGTGAATATCTATATATAATTTATTGCTTGGTTTCAATTTCAAATGCACCAGTTGATTAAAAAAAAAACAATTTAAAAAATTATCATTATAGGCTAGTGGACCTCAGTGGAGTTACTTTAACCCATTTTTGTTTCGTTTTTATGCAGTTTTCGTGAAGATATTCTTTCCGTCGTGGGTTCTGGTGTGCCAAAAACATGCAGGTGTATAAAGAAAATGGTTCTAAAAGGACTCAAAATACAAAGTTTTCACAAAATCTTACCACCGAACGATGCTTAACATTCAAAATAAATCTTAATTGAAACATACATTTGGATTTTGCCCAAAATAAAGGAACTGCTGGTCAAAATTACAGTCGAGCTTTATAACATTATGTGCTGTTCAAAGAGATTTAAAGGTGATAAAGAAAACCATCTACAAAACTACGGATCACTTCAATAAAAGTAATTCAATAGCCAATCTTAAGGAACAAATAAAATCGCGTAGCTTTAGCTGTAAAATATATTAGTTTGTGTGTTTGGTAATTAAATATCACTAAATCAATAGGGTAATTATTTGGCAATAGAAATAATTGAACCGCGTCACGACAAAACCAACATAATGGGTTTGCGACCAGCATGGATCCAGATCAGCCTGTGCCTCCGTGCAGTCTGATCAGGATCCATGCTGTTCGCTATCAGTTTCTCTATTATTGTTTTAAAAAACGAGTATATAATTTTTGACACAAAGCGAATAAGTTTGGTATGATAAATAATTTCTCTCTGAGAAACGTAGCTTGGACAAGATTGAACAGCTGACAAATGATATGGGCCATATCTTTGTAAAGCTATTGTATCATACATGTATAAATTTTCTATAAATCATTTTTAAATTCATAAAGATAAGAATCACTTCAAGATTCCGCAAGTGTATTTCAAAGATTTTCACTCACAGGCACGCGTATTTTCTTATTAATTGTCATGCAGTGAATTGCAAGTGAACTTCTTAATTAAAACGGTTCTCAAAAGATATATTTTACTTTCGTGTCGAGTAAACAACGCAAAATCAAATCATATATGTATGATAATGGTAAATGAAGAAACATGAACTTATATCTATTTATAATTTTGGCAGCAAACTGTTATTGTAACATATTCATAAATGTTTATTAAATTAACATTTCAACGTTCCGATATACTTTTATCTGTGGTAATTTATTGTGACATGGGGGAACTGAAAAGAAGGAGGATAGAATCACATTTCGATTTTGTTTATTATTTTTTTAAAGAGCTTTAGATTTTATATAAAATTTTAAAAAGTTGAAAACTTACCCTGTGATTGACCTATTTTCTCCGCCACATCCACATCTGGGTCAGCTCAATTTTGAGATCCATATGCCCCCCCCCCCCGGTGTTTTTTGTCAATTTTAGCAAAAAAAAACATCTTTTTTTTCTTAAGAGAAACATTGTTGATCTTTTGTTATGGCTGTTAAAAGGCTTTGAAAATGCACGTTTGTCACGTGTTTAAATATTTAATAATGATGACATTGTTACAATTAAACTTACTGTTATATCGAATCAAGAACATTTTTCCTGACTGTAGAACAGCTTGAGAAAAGTAGTACGCTGATGTGACAATATTGAGTGTGTTGACAGGCACGTGGATTTGGACTTCCGCACTGATATGTATTTCTCCGCTGTCGAAAACGCTATAAGTTTTCACACTGAAAAAGAAATTTCTGTTACATGAGAGAGAAAACATAAAACACCTATAGTTATAATATATTTTCGCTTTGTCTTTCCATTAATTGTGCACGTTCCAGCCTTTACGATTTAAGCAAGAAATGGCATTAAATTAACGAGACTTCAATAAGCTATTTTTGGCTATATCGGGAAAGGCTATATGAAGCATTTCCGGCCTCCATTATGTGCAAAAAAAGCTTTAGACCCCTGAATGACAACAATTATACATTACAGTAAATAGATAAATCTTAACCTGTCTTATCATCTTTTACATGCATAAATGTTCCTCGTTTGATAAGATTTCTTAAAGAACAAAAGAAAGTGCAAAAAGTTTAGCGATAATCACACAGAACAATTTTTAAACGATCGCCACTGACAACCGCCATTCAGAACTACTTTTTGTATTTTCTGATCGCAAGATCAGATAAATACATAGCTAACATCCACGGTCTAACACAAAATTTCCTAACAGTCCTAACAACGCAAAGTAGTTCTTACTCAAAACTGCTTAAAAACCAGCAATTTAAAAGACAGAATAATTTTTAATGTAGGCATTTAACGAATTACAGTGCATTGAAAGTTCAGATTAGTCAATAGAAATATGAGGTTACAATCACAAATTTCGCGGATGAATATCATTTTAATCAATGAAAATGCTATTTTTAGCTATGTCGATTACTGAATACTCCAGGGCGTAGTATACAAATAAATCTGACTGCCGAGTATTGGAATATATACATGTCGGACTGTTTTGGTGAGAAGACTTTCGCTAAATTATTTTTATCAGTGTTAAACAGGTTTATCGTGAACAAAATACCTCGAAATTGATATTGTTTGGTTTTATTAACCTGTCAATTACATACTGATTACGCGGTCGATGCACACAGTATGTTAATCTTCGGTAGATGTTCGGTAAGGTCCGTGAGAAGAACGCTGTACGATAGAATTTAATTTAGTTTGTATCTACTCAGCGTTATAGCGCAATAGGGTAAATCACGTGTTTATAATCTAAGTGCCACACGTGTTTTAAGTTCGAGGCCTCGTTGGTCCATGTTTTTTTTCTTATTAATACTTTCAACATTATTGAATCTATATATGATTATTTTATGTTGTTCGTTTTGTTTGATTATGTTTTACTTAATTTTGTTATGCATATACTCTTTTTAAATAACATGTTTTTTTTAAGAATTCATGTTTAAAATTAAAACGGATTAAAATCAATAAATGTCATTTCAATGCCGTAAAACACACTACAAATCTGTTCTATTAAAATATACTGCAAAAATAAAGAAAGAGTACTAAAACAATGGCAACAGTAAGAATCGAACCACAGACCTCTCAATTATCAGACATTCTCTTTACCGACTGTCCTATTGTGAATTAAAGGTACTCCACTGAGGTACGGCCGAATGTCACAAAAAAAAAGTAAAATTTCACGAACCGATATTTTTTTGTTACCTGCGAGTTAGGGACATTCAAACAGAATCAGTGATACATTGATATTTGTTCTTTGGATTGGCAAGTCGTTTGAAATACATATTTTCTCCAATTTTGTGGGAAAAGCGTTTAAACACCTTTCAGTTTGCAAATCTGAATAAAAACAACGGTCACGTGATGATTCTCGGGATGACTAAAAAGCGAAACGGAGAATTTTTTGTGTATCGGCAGCAACGAAAGTGCGAAACCGGAATATACCAACAATCCATAAATTTAAAAGCAAATAATGGGTTTGTTTGTTAAATTTCTTGTTGTTCACATATGTTCTTGTGAGAAAAATCTTTCAAAAGCAATTTCAATATATTTAAAGCATTACATTGTTGTAATCATGTTTTTTTCTCCATAACAATGCTGAATTTAGCTAAACGTACGGAGTTCGAAACTGACATACACAAATTTTACAAATATTCTATGTTAATTTGAGAGCTTTCGTGTAATTATTAAATATTACAAATGTATGTATTAACTTTGTAATGGTTAAAATATCATGATATCTAGGCTAAGAAAATTTACTTTGTCAATCAGTGTAATGGGTCCTATTTCAAAGGTCACTTTGGTTTGTCTGACACCCGTTCAGGAAAAAAAACTTCGTAATACCTTTTATACAACGAACATGAATTTGAGTATTGTAAGCATAAAAAATCACACGCACACACAGAATGTTATTCCAGAATTTTCTCTTTAACTCTGATCAAAGCACTGAAAGCACTGGCTAAATAGAGAATGAATCCGGCCTCATTATAGGACATTTAGGCTTCAACTTTATTAGATAATATTTCTAATGTATGTCTAGTGCACATAATTAAAATTCTTTAAGAAAAAATCGATCTCCTTTGCTAGATAGATCTGAAATTTAATATTTATCATTTAACATACATACTTGCATATTTATCCGCATTGGTGATGTAAACTTTGTTGATGAAAAGATTACTATGATTTGATCTAGACATTCAAACTATAGGTAATTGATACCTGTTTTATGCACATGGTAAACATTATCAAGAAGGTCGGAAAAGAGTTACAATCTGGCTCTATTAATATTATTATTATCATTATTGATTTAGCAGATATCCTGATAATTTTTTTCTTATTGGAAGGCCTCCGTACTAGTGATGGGTCAATTGAGCTGTGCTTTAATGTTACCAATATATTGAAAGCTTCCCGGTGGAAAAGAAATTGAGAGCGTTATAAGAGTAAAAAAGGAAAACTGGAATAAAGACAATCAAGGCGACGGCAACGTTCACATGACGCAGCCCCCGACATAGTCAAGCTTCCACAGCAGGGTTATTGCCGTGACTAGTGAAATAAACTTAAAACTGATTATATAGTTGTTGTTTTTTAAACCCTAACTTTCTTTCAAATTAAACGAAACAAACAAAATCATGATACAGCAAGACAAATGTGAAGGGCAGGTAAGTAAAAGTAACTTTAAGAATTAAAAATCTAAATTTAGTATTACTTGATTTTATTCAGGCATTGTTCGTATATCTTCTCCGTGGTGCAAGGGTAACGCGCTCGTTTAGTGTGTCTGGGGTTCAAATCCAATTCAAGGCAATTATTTTTTATAAAGTTTCTTTGTTAAGGAAATAGCCACGATATGCAAGGATAAAGTGTGGCTGTCATAAAAATGAACATAAATGATTTTTGATGCAACTCTAGTCATGCAAAATGTTTCAAACTCTGGTACCAAGCAAGAAGAATTATAGTACATAAAAATAAACTTATACAGGAAAATAATACAGTTGTACAGTGCGATTTATATTGCAAAGATCAGAAAATACCACAGAGCTTGCAGCCTTTTGATTTATCTTGTTTTTCGTATGTATTTCTGGAGATTTAATGGGTGGTTCTCGTAATAATTTAAGATTCATAAGATTGTGTATTAAAAGCCTTTGTAAATTGTTTCGGAACTACTGGATATCGTTTTGAAAATTTTAGAGCTACTTAAGTATTTTAAACACGTGAACGAAAAATTTCACAGTAACAGGAATTAAAATTAATTTTCCTAAGTATTTCGATTATAGTGATTATACCGTAATCAAACGTTAAAGGTCTCCTAAGAAATGTTCTTTGGAATTAAAAAATAAGTGTAAGCACTAGAACATAAACCACCAGATTGCTTGCAAAATCTTTATCGGCAGGATAAATTGGTTCACAAAACATGATTTTTCACAGTCAAGATCAAATGAACAGACTGTCATTTTCTTCCTGTTACCGAATGATACGAACAGACTGTCATTTTCTTCCTGTTACCGAAAAAAAACACACCAGGAAGATTTCAAGTAGAGGACACGTCACTGACAGAATGTTCTTAATATTTGAATAGGAAAGAATTTGCTAAAGCCAATTTATGAAAGAGAAATCGGGGATGCTACTTATTAAATTATTTGCCTATAAAAGAGGATTTATTTTACTCGTTTAGATTATTTTCAAAAACAAAAGTCTCAAAAAGCAAAGGTTAGCTGATATTTAGATGTAAACTGTGATAGTTTATCCGTTTTTTCTTCAGTGCCTTCAACACTTTGATCTTATCTGTAGTACAAGTAAACTATATCGTTTTCACCAAAAAATCATTAAATTCTAAACAAGTTTCTAATAGAATCATAAACATTTATTGTATCATAGTTTGAAGACTTTTCTGTTGAAAACGTGTCTGAGTTAAATCGAATTCATATATATGCACAGTGCGTAACTGGAGTGCAGGTAATAAATACCAACACTCCAGAGCATGCCCATTGATGTATTCATTCTTTTTTTTTGGGGGGGGGTGCTTTTATGGAATAACGATAGAAATGCCACATTCAGAAGCTAGTTCATAGGTTTTTTTTCTGGGGTTTCATATTGTTACAATAGGAAACGTGCATTTAATTTTGCCTATGGTATGAATATGATGTAATTGTGTGTTGAACGTGTATTTACGATCCTATTAAGATAGCCTACGAAACGTCTCTCAAAACAGAAACAATTTTGCAAAGGTGGTACCTGAGTTCTTTCTCCACCAGAGAGTTGCCATAATGACCTATACAGTTTTTGTGTGACGTAACCCCCACTCCACCCCAAAAACAGACAATCAAATCAAATGAGACATGTCATTAACTGTATTTGATTTGCATACGTTATGGATAGCGTTAAATACATTTTAGTGTGATTTACACTGTGCTCGTTTTAGTATAAATATCACTGATGCATTATGTTTGCCTTAGAATATTGAAATTGAAACTGAAATGTCAATGAAAATAATTGTACATGTATATAATATCTTTCCGTTTTGTCTAGAAAATGACCGCTTCGCTGGCGTTTGATTTTTCAAGACAACGAAATTGCTACCTTGATTATCTTTTATACAGTTTTTCTTCGTTATACTCAAGTTATATAAACATGATAGGTTAGAGAGTTGAGAAAAAATCAATAGATTTTTTTACCCCCGTTTTCTCTGTTGTTCCAAAAATGTCCGTTGCGTATTTTAGTTATACCCGATGAATTGTGGGTAACTTCTGTACATGTCTGGGAAAACCAACTTTCATTTTTGCATCAAAAGCTAATGTGAATATGCATTTTCTAGCATAATTGTTGTTAGAGGGTTGGTTAAAGTGTAAGTTATTGTTATTTTAGTCATAATATTGTGATTTGTGGGGAAATTTGTATACATTTTTTTTGGACACCAAATTACCCGTCAGACCTCAGTGTAGCCCCTTTAACGAAAACTTTCACATAAAGCTGGCGTGACTTTCAATCGATGACTTATATACTCCACATTAATTCTCGTAAACTACACGTACCAAACCGAAGTGGGATCGAATATCTAAATGAGTCCTATAATGTATTCAAAATTGACAGGTCAATAAAATCAGACTATAAGGATTACAAACACGAAATGGAAATTCTCAATTTAGAATTACAATGTATTTGTTTTTATTCAGGCTACATATTACGTATTACTTCACCGTGGTGCAGGGGTATGGCGCTCGTATCGCGCTCGTTTAGGGTGTGAGAGGCCTAAGGTTCAAATCCTAGTCGAGCAACTTTTTTTTTAAGTGTCTTTTTTTAGAAAGTAGCCACGATATGCAAGGAAAAAGTGTGGCTGTCATAAAAAATGATTTTGATGCAACTCTAGTCATGCAAAATTCCATATGTATCAATCTCAAACTGTTATAGAGAAAAATCTTAACGCAGGCGCTGCGTAAGATGAATTATAGTATATAAAAATAAACCTATATAGGAGAATACATACAGATAGTCAGTATGATTTAGATTGCAAAGATCAGAAAATACCACAGAGCTTGCAGCCCTTTGATTAATAACCGCCGCTAAGAACACATTTTTGATAATCGCCACTAAATACTGACACTCAAAACCACGTTGTACAAAACTACGTTGTATACAACAACCACTCATTGCTACATTTAATAAATATATATTTCCAAATAAGAACACAAATATGACTCACTGAATAACTGACCCTAGATACTGTTGGCAGAACTTTTGGCCAAACCCATTTGTAGGTACTTTGTTATTATCCTTAAGATAATGATTCTTAATTTGTGTTTATATAGCACGTACAAATATAAAATTTATTATTAAATTAAGTTAAATTATATAATTAAATGACAATAAAATGAGAAATACATTTTATGACAGCCGCTCAACACAGCTACATAATATTATACTTTAAATGAGTACCGATACATCTGTATGATAAAAAACAAATTTAAGAAAAACCGTGAGAAAAATAAGAAGGTTAACAAATATTATATGACTGAGGCAAGACAGATAACACGAAAAGGCGGTTCAATAATTTTGTTTTAATATCAAATCAATAACTTTAGTCTTGTCTAAGACTCAACCCTTCCTTAATTTGTTTTAATTAAACATATTCGGCTTCCTGTTTTGGAACAGTTATCTATGAATTTTGGGAAATCATGAGGAAAATCGGCACGGATTCGAAGACTAGCTTTGTACTTAGTTTATCACGTCCGGTCCCATCATCCTAAGCGTTATATCCATTCAGTTTGGCATTAATTTTTCATTTCCAGTCCGATCATGTTTAGCGTTATACCAAATAAGTTTGATTATCTGTATCTCACTTCCGGTTTTATCATTCTTAGCGTTATACTAAATAAGTTTGATTATCAGTATCTCACTTCCGGTCCTATCATTCTTAGCGTTATACAAAATAAGTTTGATTATTAGTATCCCACTTCCGGTCCTATCGTTCTTAGCGTTATACCAAATAAGTTTGATTATTAGTATCCCACTTCCGGTCCTATCATTCTTAGCGTTATACCAAATAAGTTTGATTATTAGTATCTCACTTCCGGTCCTATCATTCTTAGCGTTATATCAAATAAGTTTGATTATCAGTATCTCACTTCCGGTTCTATCATTCTTAGCGTTATATCAAATAAGTTTGATCATCAGTATCTCACTTCCGGTCCTATCATTCTTAGCGTTATATCAAATAAGTTTGATTATCAGTATCTCACTTCTGGTCCTATCATTCTTAGCGTTATACCAAATAAGTTTGATTATCAGTATCTCACTTCCGTTCCTTTCATTCTTAGCGTTATACCAAATAAGTTTGATTATCAGTATCTCACTTCTGGTCCTATCATTCTTAGCGTTATATCAAATAAGTTTGATCATCAGTATCTCACTTCCGGTCCTATCATTCTTAGCGTTATATCAAATAAGTTTGATCATCAGTATCTCACTTCCGGTTCTATCATTCTTAGCGTTATATCAAATAAGTTTGATCATCAGTATCTCACTTCCGGTCCTATCATTCTTAGCGTTATATCAAATAAGTTTGATTATCAGTATCTCACTTCCGGTCCTATCATTCTTAGCGTTATATCAAATAAGTTTGATCATCAGTATCTCACTTCCGGTTCTATCATTCTTAGCGTTATATCAAATAAGTTTGATCATCAGTATCTCACTTCTGGTCCTATCATTCTTAGCGTATCAAATAAGTTTAATTAATGCTACAGGAAAAATACATAATGTAACATACCATCGGATCAAACTAATGTTGCAGACCCAATGATCTTTGCTGTCGTACTTTGCTTGTTCCATAAACTTTGAGAAGAAGAAAAGAAAAAAACATACAGATAACATTAAAGTAATTATTATACAAAAATTCTAAAGTGAATTGGTTTATAATGGAAGGTCAGTTATACTATAAATAGTTAAAAGTATTTAGTATCAGACATAGTAACACTCCACGAAATAATCATAAATATATAAATGATATTGGCAAGTGATATAACATACATAGAGGATATTTGTTTGTTTGTGTGTAAGATGAAATTTTATTTCATCGAGTGGGCTTTAAAAACAGTATTCTCACGAGTGGCGAAGCCACGAGTGAGAATACTGTTTTTAAAGTTCACGAGATGAAATAAAATTACATCTTACACAACAAACAGACAAATTTTCTTTTTATTTTATGCTTAAAAACAAGTTAAAACGAAATTTCCATAATTTTAACGTATATATTAAAACTGTTTCCCCCATTGAGAGCCCCATTTATTCGGAATTTCTCATTAAAAAAAAGAAGTCTTGAGCTGAAAAATAAGTCCGCCAATCAACATTGAATGACGGTGATATTTATTAATTTTATTAAAAAAATATGAATGATCGCTTGTTTTGATAATAAAAACAACCAATTCTTGTAGGAGAAAAAGTCCAACCATCCATCCATATTTCTGTTACTTAGTGCGAATTTATATTAGACCTGGCTTTGTAAATTGTAAGCGGCAGCCATTTTTTAAAGTTGTGTATTTCATGGGAGGAAAATAATTGTGTAAGATTCAGAGGATATAATTTGGATTTGTTAGTCATACACATTTTTAAAAGAAAGAAAACTTATTTGAGGATTGTAACAGACAAAAAATAAGTGTTGACAGATGTGAAAACATTCAGAAAAGGAGCTAGGAAAATGGAAAACTTGGAAACCTGCTCAAGAACGCTGGGTTGATTTAACTTATTCTTCGAGTTATGGCTGTCAATGCTTTCAATTTTTCATAAAGCATACGGCAGTTATTGCTCGTAGGATACTTTAATATGCCCAAATGTCATCAAGAGCAGTTTTGCATGGGGAAGGAATGTATTTTTGAGACTGTCAAAATGAAACAAAAAAACGAAATTTGGTGATTGGAATTTCATGAATTTGAATGAATAGAAGTAAGTTTTCTTTTTTTTATTACTTTTGACATTTAAGTTATTAATCAATTTCAGTTTTGCTTTTTCTTTAAACAGCCTGACATTGTCAGAATTGTCAGCAAAAATAAAATTGAGGTACCACATGGGGAAAATCTTAAAAAAGTAGTTTCGTCATTGAAAAGAGTGAAATTATATTTTGATAATTTTCATTGTGAAATTACCAAATATAATTTTCACGGATAAATCAGTAATCCACTGAAAAGCATATAATAAATTTGTTTATTTATATAGCATATAATAAATAGTTCTAGAACAGATTCTTGTTATTATTATGATTATATTAAATCACTAAGAACTTTATAAACATTTTTTTAAGTAATATTTTATAAGAATATCTAAATGATATACATGTTTTTCTATTATTTTAATCAATATTTGAAATACTTATGGAAAATATGCCCATGTATAGACCAATCCATTTTAACAACATGAAAAATGGTCACTTCGTATTGAAAAGTTTTAGCTACAGCAATATGTATTTTTACTTATAGTTTCTGAGCGTATCAAAACCAATATTTTCAATAAAAATCAGCGATACATGACCAAAGTACAAAACAAATTACAATCATAAAATAATATATGACAAATACAATCTTTCACAACAAATCATGCATAAAATTACAGACATGAATGTAAATACAAGTTTTGCTTGCAAAAGTTGTGAGTTATCTGCTCTTGAAATGACAATAATGAACTAAACACTGGATTTCAGGGGCAGATAACTTTAAAAAGTAGTAAGGCGACCCTCAATCTTTTTTGTTTTATAAATTCGTTTCAATTTTTTAAAATATTTTATCATGCCAAGTTTAAGCAAATTCTTTGCTCTTGTTTAGATTTTATTTCTTTGCTTATCTAAATAAGTACAATGTATATGACGTCAGGAAAATTACTTCTACGCTCAATGTAGTTCGATAAATTTTTATCAGTTCTCCATTTTATAAGATGTTAGAATGGAAATAGATACTTATTTTTCTTGCATTGTAGTATGATAATGCAAGGGTTTTCGTTCAAATGCTTTAATATTAATCACTCAGGGCTATCGGCCTTCGTGATAATATTCTTACGCATCTGCACTTACAACAATGCACTCAAAATTGGATTCTACTTCCTAAATGACAAATTGTTCACACAAGGTACACTTACAGATCCAGACAATGTTTTGTTGAGACTTTTAAATGTATCTGACGTAGAATCATACAGATCATTCGTAAATAACTCTGAGTATGTTATATTGAATGAGTATATCATTTTTGCTGGAAAAAAACAAGAATTATAATGGTCATAAACAATGAAGTACAATTAATTTCAAATAATTTAAGCGACGCAATTTTTAAGACAAAACAATGATCTAAGCGACGCAAAATTTGAAGACAAAGCAATGTTCTAAGCGACGCAATTTTTTAAGACAAACAATGTTCTAGGCGATGCAATTATTAATGGCATATTTTACGCGATGCAATTTAAAGTTCTTGTCCTTAACAGACTGAAGCCTTTATTCCCAATTTTGTGACAGCAGGTACACAGTTCTTATGAAAACTATAGTATAACTAATATATTTGTCTACTGATAGATAATTTACTGGCCTCTTTTGAACTTTGAGGGCTTACGCTCATTACATAAGTACTGCTCAAACCAACAACCCCTGGGATAAAAGACATGTTCCATTTAGTTACCTCTTAGTTCTTAAACTTATCTAATCACACTGGCCATAGCCTTCGCAGGAGAGGTGCATACACCGCAGCGGCGGTGGAATATTCGTCGCAAAAGCGGTGGATGTAAAAAGGCCGTTTGATGTTGTCTGCAAGTTTATGACTGAAACTTACTTTATGTTTTAATATTATACGGGAAACACCTAGTGAGACTGGAGCCCGCATATGTACTCTTCAAACATATTACAAGCATACAATGTAATTCATTGCCATTTAGGCAACCACTTCTGTACAGTTTGACGAGGGGACACCACTTTTGCCTAATTTTGTTTAAAACGCATACAAACGTGTGCAAAACGACATCTAAATACACCGAAATCACATCGTGTGTATAATACTTGCACAAAACAACCATATCTTGGTACTTTTGGAAATTGCTATTGCCTATTTATACAATAAATGACAAAACTGTTTACAACGCAGACAGTGGTGGATTCGATTGCAACGCAGTGCTCCTGCGAATACTCCACCGCTGCTGCGATGGCCCCCATCGCTTCTGCGAACGCTATGACCAGCGTGCTACTGGACGAGTTGTCTTAAACAAATAGAGAAATTTTATGACTGATATATAAATTACATAAAGAAAATTGTGGCAATATATTAGATAAACCTGGGACATAATATACCATTTCACCGGTATAATGTATATTATATTATGTCCCAGTATACACCCGTTTGATGACGTCAGATATCTTACGTGATGAACTGCTGCATGTCTCTGGAGGATCTGAAAAAGAAAATATGCTTTGTTATTTGGTAGATTTTGCACTATAGAAACATAAAGACTGAGGTTTTTGTTTTGTTTTTATATCATGATTTACATACAAATCTTGCACTGTCATCTTTTATTTTTCTTATGATGAGATATTAAAATAAAACAGTGAGATATAAGATATTTATTACCCTCCCAGCTTTTTTCCGCCTTTTTGATTGGATATTGATCACACGAAAGAAATTGATATAACCGAGCCAGACGGGTAATATACACACTAAATTTCCCTGTTGGGTACCCAATGTTGTAAACAACATGCGCTAAGGTGTTGCGCGTACGGTTCGATTTTACGCGGTGTAAATTCCGATTTAAAAGCACTTTTTAACTGTCAAATGATAAATATTTACCAAAGTAGAGTAATGATACATATTACCATCCGTATCGAAAACAAATATGATCTTGTGAAAGCTTGATATTATTTACAAAAAAGTGCGTTCAATAGACTACTCCTTTTCTCTTGTTTACATTCGTTAGGTATGGGAAAATACGTCATGTATTTATGTGACGTCATGTTGTGACGAAGAGGTACCATAAAGGGAATCTTATTTCGACGTTTCATTTGAAACAGCAATGATTTTTTAAAAAATCCTCTAAACTCGACAGGGGAAGGGTAATAAAATTATTATTTTGGTTTTGGAGTGATATATGTGGATATATTACCTGCCAAGATAAAATATCACCCTCGCCTACCGGCTCGGGTGATATAAAATCTTAACAGGTAAAATATCCACATATATCACTCCAAAACCAAAATAACATATAATATCACATGCTTTGACACTGAGTAGGCCTAAAATTAAAAAATTTCGGATTTCGCTTAATACTTTAAAAGAAAACTGATTGAATGATTTTTATGACGTCACGGATAACTTCAAATAAATAAGCAAATTCTAACGGCCGGTTTTCGACGGTCCTAGTTGTTTTAATCTCAAAGCTATAGGAAATAAAAAAAAAGATAGGATAAAGAAAAAAGATATGAGTAAAAAAAATAATTTGTTTATTTGAAAAACGAATTATAGAATAAACACATGAACCTATCATCTAAGTAAGATTTTGTTATGATTTTATTCGCACATTTTGCTCTTAGATTTTTTCATCTCTCTTCTTAGTGAGATATTCTATTTTCACTGAAAACAGACGAATATTCTATATATCTCATTCGATTAAATAAAGCCTTTAATATTTTGTTCTTATTTTTAAAACGTTTACAATTAAATATGGTACCTTTGTAACAGTGGGTCAGTTCAAATTAAGATGACATGTTTAATAATGTAGATAACGGCAATATTGTATATAAATTTAACAGAATAAAAACAGGATCTAAAAATCACGGTTCCGTTCATTTGCGTTAACACTAAGGCAACTTTTTTCTGGCCTAATTTGTGTTCCTTCTTAAAGTCTCTATCAACTGATAAAAGATCAAACAGAAAGAGACTGATGAATGAAATAGAAAAATAAAGACACTAATGGGTCTTTAAAAATCAACTCAATTTAAATGCAGGGTGAATCAATATACGGCAGAGTCCTACGAATTTACCCTAGATTTCCAATTTTTAAAAATGGCCTATCTATGGCCATTTATGAGCATTTAAATATAGTAACCGTTTACCATCATTTCCTTATAACTCATTCAAATGCATCCATTTAACCCCAAATAGAGACAAATTTTGGTGGGTTTTTTTTACGTTTATTCATATAATAGTATAAATGAATTTCTTACAAGGTGAATAATAAAAAAACGGCATGCCTTTAGTTGTCATAATAATCTCACAATACTTACAGGTTGTCAACGGCGTAGTTTGGTACTTTGTTGTGCTCTGCAAGGCTGAAATATCAACGTATATGAAACATTATACAATACTGAAAGTTTAAAACGTCCTTATTCATTAGATTTATAATACTTTACATATACGATGTATGTTGATGTTTACAGCGATCCCGTAGTATTACAGTTATTTGAATTTCAATTGAATTACGGCTCGGGTTATATTTCCAAACAAGCGTTTATGTACTGCCACATAACCTGTTTAAAATCTTGATAACTCATAGTATAATGATTTTTGAAGGGTTTCGTGACACAACTTTAACCATAATGATTTTAAGCTAATACAGACGGGGACTTTATAACAAAACGGCCATATAACATTTCAGAAATCTGTATCGCAAATTTATGATACTGCACAGTTGTTTTCTGTGATTGAAAAGTATAAATTTGTTTCAGTATGCAAGTTTATGAATAAATACTTAAGTAAAAACTGTCTTAACGAAGATGCAGTAGGTCATGTATTTCTATTATAAAAGATATCTATTTTCCAATTAATCAGAGATCGAAATATTTATGTTATAATTCTATTCTTACTATATTCAAAGAACAATTAGAATGAGACCATGAGCAAACAAGGGGGAATCTTGTCAGCTAATTTATCTAATTCATTTAATACGAAAAGTTGTTGTCGAACCAATGTCAATGTATTCACAGATAAAGCACCTAAAATTGCTGATTTTAGCGCCTTTTTCTAATATTTCATGGAGATAAAATAAAAAGGCTCCGGCAAATAAAGATTTACAAAAGATGGCGAAATTTGTCGAATCGACAAAATCCTATATTTTCAAGAAGTTCATAAAAACTGCTTTTATTACAGAAGTTCAACTCACCTCTCATGAAAATAAAATAAAAGTGTTCTGGTAAAAAAGCATTAAACGTTAACTGAATTTGCATATCATAAAGAATAGACATCATGGATACAACAACTGTGAACCCGATGTTCATTTCCGTGTTCTCTGGACTATTCGGCAGAGGGTTGACCGGATAACTAGAGTAAACAGAAATGGGAAACTAAATTAGTTTTAAAAAAGGTCTGGCTATCGGTAAAGTTTTTGTGCATCAATTTGCAAATAAAAGTCAATGTCGGTCAAACTAAATATAACCAGCGTCTTTCAAAAAGAAATCTATTTGAAAGACCCTGATATAACAGATATCAAGGTATAGTGACATTGAGTCTGTATGTGAAGACTACACATGAAATTCAAGAATTTATTTACAGTAAATCAAAACTGAGTAAAAACATGAGTCAGTCGGTCAATAAATCATGTATGGTACTGTCAATTTTGAAATTACTGCATTGATTAGTCAAAATCTCATACAAAACATTGTGTGTGTGTGTGTGTGTTTTCTTATAAAATATTAAAATCAGTATTTTGCCACAATCTGCTGTTCGGTCTTTTTCGCTGAACGTCTTGTAAAGTAAAATGAATAATTTGTTACCAGCTTGTAACAATCACTTCTCAAAGAATGATATCCTTAGAATAGTATACAATCATTTGGAACACTTTGCCAAATACTGATGATATTTACCCGAAGTTAAGTGAAATAGACCAATACGTTATAAATGGATAAATGATGAAATATTTTGTTAACGATTACTAAAATATAATATAACTTAATGATTGATTCTTGCAATTTTAATGCAGATTTATCAACAATAACTGCAACTGGTGTCTTTCTTTACGTATTTTCTTCTGTTCCTTATTCGGAGTTAAATAAGGAATAAGGAACTGGTTCCCTATTCCTTATTCGATTTTTTTTCAAAATAATTATGCAGATTCTTTATGCAATGATTTGAATGAGGTATAAATTTTATTTTAAATAAATACTAATTCTGCTGTTCCTTATTTAGATTTGAATAAGGAATCAGGAACTAGTTCCCTATTCCTTATTCGAAAAAGGAATAAGGAACTTATTCCTTATTCGAAAAAGGAATAAGGAATAGGGAACTAACTTTATGGACATACTTAATACAAACAGTTAAATAAAACAGATTCAGAAAATTGAAGCATGCCTAAGCGTATTTGTATAATTAACTTACAATTTTTGAAGATAAATGTTGCAAACTGATAAACCATAGTCTTTTGTCGCATCTGTCAGCTTAAACAAAACATAAAATAACTTTAAATTAAAACAAAAATATCTTAAATTAACTAATTTTTTGATCCCAATTTATTTCCCTTGAAAAAAACCATGTTTGGGAAAAATTTTTGTTTTATACCTTTAAATTGGAAAAAATTTTCATATACATGTAAAATTTTATTTCATTGCATTTCCCTTTTTTTTAAAAAAACATATCTTTTAAAAAATTGAACAAAAGTTTGAAACAAAATTTCCCTTTTTCTAAATTTTGTAAGATACACAATTTTCAGATAAAACAACTGATAGATGGTTAGAGCTGTAAGTTAAACATGTTTTACTTTCAAATGTTCGTGTATGCGTGGTTGCTGACATGACCAGACCATAATTATCTACCTTGAAGTTCCATTATGAAAATATAAAGTACTGTGAGTATGACTGTTACTTACTGATTCAAGGACAGTGTTCTCCATTGCTTTATATCCTGAGGTATTTGACATCTGTAAATCGTCCTCAAAAGGCCATAGAATAGCACCTTCAATCTCATACTCATATCGGACACCTGTGAAGTATGAAGTCTTAAAACATGTTTGTGACAAAATCTATGTTTTAAACTGGCAGAAAATAAGTATTCAACAAGCTGAGTTCCTGGGCATGTACTTCTCTCACATAAATAAATTTAAGTTTCTCCACTGCACATATGAAATAAATTGATTTGCTTCCTTGCAATAGATTCAGAATGATTTTCATCCGTAAAGAATGGACGTTCCGCTATATCGTGGCAAAATCACACTTCTCTTTACTGTAATTTTGTAAAAATTAAAAGTCTTTTTTACATTTATCTTGCATCTGTTACTTGAAAACAAACACTAAAGAATCAATATCAGAGCGAAAAAAGGGGTTTGAAATTTAAGAATACGGTGTTCAGTCTCAAATACTTTTTGTACTTCTTGTAAACAAGATGTTTGTGTGAATACAGTGATACCAAGAGTCACCAAAAATTTAACGAAATGATAGCAGGCACTTCCGGTAGTAACTCGAGAGAAAATAGTTTTTTTTGAAACGTTTCGCATAAGTAACTGATTGAAAAAGCTTTCAACGTCAAAATAAAGTTTACCAGACAAATCTTTTAATTATCTTTCTTGATGATTGTTCAAGAAGTCTATTGTATTGATGATTGTAGAAGTCTATATAACACTTAATAAACATATTTTGATTGTGCAAAACTATATGGTGATACTTTATAACTTTATCGACATAAGAAATAAATGTTGAATAAAGCACACGGCTAATGCAGGACATGTTTTCCCTTTTTGCAAAACCAGGGATACAATAACTGTTTTTGGCATTATAATCAAGGAACGTTGTTATCTCAACCAATGAATACTTAAGTGCTTGCAGCGCTTTGATTCAAATTGTATCATATTTAAATGGTTAGAAATAAGGTTATAACATTGGCATGAGTTAAGCTCTTGTCTCACACATTTAGTCGTATATACTAAAAGATCAATACCTTGGACACATGGAAATTTTGTTGTTGTAGTTGTTGTTGTAGTTGTTGTTGTAGTTGTAGTTTTGTGTATATCTGTAGTTGTGGTCGGTCCGGTGTATGGTTTATCTTGAGTTGTTTGTTTGGTTGATGATCCATCCTTTGTTGTTGAAATAGATGGCCCTTCTGTGACCTTCCCTAAGTGAACGAAATTAAATTCATATCTGGTAGCAGATAAACATAAACATTATAAAGCATGTTTGTATATCATTCACTTGGATTAAATTTGTAATTCACTGTTTTGTTTTCTGTTGTTTTTCATTCATTGGAAGAAAATCTGAACATGGTATAAGCAAGACCTCTTGATAGGTCGGCTAAGAAGTAAAACGGCAAACTTGTCAGTCTGAAATGGGGTAAGTCGGAACAAGGGGTAGTCAGACCATTGGGTTAGTTTTTCAGCAGGGACTATATTGGAGTTATATTGGAACATTTCTAAAGGTAAGCAGGGATCTAATCTGAGCATGGTTTGAGCAAGATGTTAATTGAAAATGGCATAAGTTTGAACAGGATATGATATCTAGTCGGGATAAAGGCAAAGTTAGTGAAACACATGCCCCCATTAAAGCATGGTAGAGAATCGCATGCATTTGTAACTGAAAAGACAAAAAAGACACATTCTTCTAAAAGACAATTCAGCAAATATTTCAATAAGGTGAAAAGGTGGCCTGCTAATGAACCTAAGTTTCATGAGATGAACAACATATTATTTTCCATATTTATAACTTATGTTTGAACGAATTAGTTCATTGTCTAGAAATATTGAGTTTTTAAGTTAATGAATTGTCCTTCGTTAACTGTTTTGTAAAAATTGTTTCAAGCCTCAAAGTTATTCAGTGTTATTTTAACAAGAGTAGATTTAATCAGAGGCACATTCAAAACTCAACGAAACTTTTACAAAAGAAAGTCGCGATACCGAAAATGATGAACTCAGCGGGACTTTGACGATGATTAATAAGAATTAAGTATTGGTTAACCTTCGGTCGTAGTTGTAGTTGTTGTGCTGGTGTGGGGTATTTTTGCTGTTTTAGTTGTTAGCTGTGTTGAACCTGTAGTGGTTACTCCTAAACATATGTAAAATAATTGATATAATCACAATATGTTTTGTTTTAAATATCATTCAAAAATCAAGGCACTGAAATTGCTGGATATTAACAATACTTGGGCTTAATACACTAGTTAGTCGCATGTAATGTCAATAAAAACATTTCGACGGTAAAGCATTTGTACTTAAACTGAGGAAAAGTAGTTCAAAAACTAAAATTTGCTTTGAAATGTTCTTACACTTAAAATAGATCAGTATCCACAGTTATAAGGGTCAAGTTATTTGAAGCCGATGACCTTAACCACTTAGCTACGAAGCCACCTGTCTACATTCACTCTTCCCCTCCCTTCCCTTCAAATGCAGTATATCAGACTCTGCAGTGAATCATTATCAGTCCTATAAGTCCCCTGTGACTAAGGGTAAGCAGTACTCACGTAATTCGCACAGAGTTCCCGTCCACCCTGGGAAGCACCAACAGGCAAACCCATCTAAGAAATCGAAGCATTGGCCACCGTTGTAGCATGGCTGTGAACTACATTTATTTTCCTCTGAAAGAAATAAAGAATCATTTATCTGTATTCATCTATCTGTACTATATATGACATATTTTTTCGCCCTCTGATTTCAAATATATGATAAAAACAAAAACAAAAACATGGTTGTAGCCCTCTTAAGTTCGAATCCATGATTCATGCATATTCAGGTAGACGGTTTATTCACTAGTTTAACTCACCAATCCAAAAATTCTCCTATTCTTTAATTTTAAACTCTGAAAATCAACGAATCACAATACAATGTATTTTGTTATTTTTCGTTGCATAATTACTGTTTGTAAGTGCTGTTATTACAATCAACCTGAAAAAAGCAGACAAATTGATAAAAAAGATCAAAGGTCAAGCCTACCCTTTTCGCAATTTTTCCCGGTGTATCCATCTTTACAACTGCACGTGTAGCCAGTATTATTGCCGACGCACGTTGCTCTATTCAGACAAGGATTCGAGTCACACTCGTTTAATTCTGAAAAATAAAGATAAAATTATATAACTATGAGAAATATTTATCTGAAGTATTAGACATATTTATCTGAAATATTATACATATTAATCTGCAATATTAGAAATATATCTTATACGATGTATTTTTCCCCGCAATGAAAGCTAAATCATTCTACTCTACTTAAACTATATTTTAGTCCAAAATTATTTTAGTAAACAGTTTCCATATAATAATTATTTCAAGCCTAAATAAGTGTTGCAAAATATTTATTTTCATTTATTTACGTATTTTGCTGTTATTATCTTCTCTTAATTTCTTTTCTATAATCATTTTCCAACATTTTCTTTCATTATTTACCACATTTCCCTAATAGATATGAACGTAGAGATTAACTCACCTGTTCCGCACGTTGCACCCGAATAGCCTGGCTGACACGTGCATACAAAATTACTGCCTTCACTTTTACACGTGCCTTTATTTTTACAAGGATCTGGGACGCACTCTGTCATATCTACGTCATAAAATAATAAAACAATGACGTCAAAATGATACATATAATGAATTGATATCTTATCATATAAATATAACCAGACTAAGTCATCCTCGGTGCCATGGATGATTGGATGACCCTCTCGTAACTTACCCGGGAGTTTGAGGCTACATTAAACCGTTCTATAGTAATAATTCGATTTTTATGTATGGTACCAACAAACAAGGAAAATGCTTGAAAAAGACGCACCCGATGTGACTACGGAAGCAGACCTACTATGAGGGCATAGGTCTTGTTCATATTGTCAATTATGAACATCATATCCAAAAGCAATCCGAAATAAATCCGGTCTAGTTCTTAGACATATCTAAGATACAAACACGTATGTTTTTTTTTCAAATTAATTCAACGGTTAATTGTTATTTCTGTAACACAATTAACATTTTACAAATCTCTCCCAAAATTATCCCTTTACAAACAAGACGCTCTAAATTCCAAAACCTGAAGACGTTATGAAATACTCGGAAATTAAGTTTTCAATTTACCTGAAACATTTATGTCGGCAACATCAGGGATTTGCTTTATTGTATTTTTGAAAAGGTCAAGGTCAACATTAAAGTCAAAGCTTGGTGGGTCAGGGCTCTCGTTTTTTGCCAACGTCTTTGTAAGTGTCATAAACCAAGTGCACTCGGCAATCACACTGCCTTGTCTGTTAAATAATACATTTAGTTTTATTATATGTTATATGGACAAGTTTTATAATAATTATAATGTTTGTCATTATATATTTTAGAAATTCATGTTTTCAAAATATTTGTTTAAAGTTCAGGTAACTCAGCTTTATTGAATACATATGTTATTTGGTTGTTACCATAGTTATATAATATTTCTACTTAATACCCTTTCATTAATTTCAAATAAACCGACTCCTATTCGTAGTGGGGCTTAGAACTTTACTGAAAATGAAGGCGGAGCTAAAATTCTCAACTTTAAACTAGGATCAAAGTAATCCAATACCAAACCAAAATAAAGAATGGTTTGAGCAAATATGATCCAATATTGTGTGGTCAAATAACCAATCTAGATATTAATATTGTAAACATTTGCATACATTTAACTTTTCATTATTGTTTTCGTTGTCGAGAGATAAATAGTTCAAGACTGTAGAATACATAGAAAAGTTACTCAACGGTTAAACGTTTTACAGTCTCTAAGGTAAGAAGGAGCTAGGTTTAAATGAGTGTTTTTAACGTTAGAAGGTGGTTTAAGTTAAATGGTATTATATGTTAACCGATAATAAAGGTTAGAAGGGACTAACTTAATGATTAAATGATTTTTAAAGTTACATATCATCATGGTAAAGGAGAACGAAGTTTGGGCGATCTTTAAGATCAAATGGTCTATTAGTTTTAAAAAAAGTCTGTAACTGTGTTACATACCGAATATTATCGACTGTTGTTTGGACATACACACTGGATAACACACTATTTCGCAGCTGTTTGTCCATCTAAAATATCAGTAAACATCATTTGCTAAAAGTCTTACTATGCAACAAACTGTCATAGTTGGCATATAGTTAACTAACCTGGGCTTGTCAATGAACGACTATATTTGCATTATTTTGTGTCGAGCAAAAGCCTTTTTTGGCCTACGCAGATTGTGCCTGCTCGAGAAAGTTATACTTCCGGTCGATTTGCATATCAACCAGACGCTATGTAAAAAAGCTTTATATTTTACATTTTCGTGTCATTTCGCAGATGACCATATCAATTTAACATACATAATGCGTTATTTTAAAGACAGGCTGATACTTTCTACGTCATTATGTGTGTGCTTGAGCTTTGAGCCATCACAAATACATGTAACTGTCTAAAAAGCTCCAAGATGCGCCATAAGATAATACAGAAATAAGTAAGCTCCTCGTAAAAATTAATGATCTATTGTAATTGTAATTGAAAGAAGAGCAAATTGTGGGATTAAATAGCACGGTGATAATAAGGAACACTGTATACATTCTTTATTGGCAGATGAATTTTAGAAGCGATTACCTATTATACATTCATTTATCAACAAGGGCACAAAAGTGCGAGTCTTACTCGAGTCTCCAACATGTGTCCTCACAGATAAATTCCAGTTAATGGACTCAAAAGTGTCAAAAATGCGACATGGACTTGTTTCACAACCAAAAATTAGAAAATATGTGTAAAGCAAATAAATCTGTTGAAAGGGGACATAACCCACATACCATTTCAATTATTTCATTTGCGGTTGTTATATATTCGGTAGAATTTTTATCATTATATGCATCAGTCCAGTTCTTTGACGATAAGGTTACTTCCCCTTTAAGAATACTGTCCTCTGAAATGTTGAAAAGGTAATAAAAGCAGGATAATACGAGCACTTTATTTGAAAATTCCTTGACAACAAGTGCTGTTGTTAAGCTTTAGCCTACTTCTGGCAACAGGTTTTACACATATAATAAGTGCAGAACAAGATCTGTTTTGTCTGACCATGCAGCCCGGCTCGAACGTGCTTCTTTTCGGTAATTCGACACTTGATAGTATCAGTAACTAAATGACCAGTAATAGTGACGTACTCAGAGTGTTTGCTATTCAATCAGTTATCCCATAAATTGATGAATGGTTATGCTAGGCAAGTCAATTTAATATGTATTAAATGTGGTATGGGCTAAAAAATGGGAAAATTAAAGCCACATAATACATGTATATTATACTTTTTTTAAGTATGCAACATGGCTTGTTTAAAGAACAATATACAATGTAGTAAAAAATAGCATTTTTACTACAATTTCTTTTAATTTTATTATTGAATTCGCATGAAAAATACCTTACTGATATGGCCTGGGCAAATTTTACTTTATCCTTAACATTTTCTATTATTACCCCTCACTTTTTGTAATGTTAATTTCCAATAGGCTACAAAGATAAAGCAAGTGTACAATCTGACTAAGAAATCTGTACTGTTACAGGGTAACAGTACATTTAACAGAATTAAATCTGGTCACATGTTGTTTTTTGTTGTTGCTTTTGCAAGATAAGAATAGTTGAGTTATTGTCACTCTTGGTTCAATTTTGTTAGATGTAGTTGAAATTTTCAAATGATTTGTTCGGGGTAATAAAATTAATAACGCTTTGGGTAACAGTTATTTTCTTTGGGATGCTATTTTTACTGTTACCCACAAACCCATGTTATATTTATATACTATCCATTATTGGTCGGGCACCATTATAACAGTCAATATTTTGAAATATAGAGTCAATTCAGCTCAACTGAACATAATGTCATTTTAAGCTCACTAGATTTCAGACAATTTTAGATGGAGTTTTTGGATGTTATGTTAGTTTCAGAGAAGAACAATAAAAGACAAACCTGACACTTCTACCATTTCAACCTCCTTTTTATCTGAAATAGAAAATACGTTGATGCATAAAACTGTGTTGCAAAGAAAATTGTTTTTATATTTGTTTTGTTGGATTTAAAGTCATACCGAATTTGTAAAGGTCATGTAACGACTTTCTAGCTTTAGCACTTTCAGTGCATTAAGCGGGTACCTGATAAGACCCACCAATATTCCGTAAGCTAGGTTGCTGACATGAAATAATATTGGAACCCATAGTGGTAAGAGGCAATTTTGAGTGTTATGTTGCATAAGTTCGGTGTGGTGGTGATTTTAAAAGTTCAACTCCTGATCATAATAGTAAACCAATTTAAATTCACTAAGACCATAATTCAGCTTCCATATCGTCTCTAGGCAACCTATAAAGCAGTTTACCAGTACAATATGCCTTCACTTTTGCAAGGAACTGATATGACTTTTATACTTGCCAGAGCACAGGTACAATACGAATGGTCGTAAAAAAAGATTTCATGATCAATCAAAATAAAAGTGACCTACGCCGTCCGGTAATCGAACCCTGTTAAACGCTCTATAAATTAAACTAACCGAACAGTTGCAATGTTCGATTTCAAATGTGCAGAATTATGAACGGAGAAGTAATTTTGATGACATCATTTTGGTTTATTAGCACTGACCTGAATCTGAAGACAATGTCAAGGCAAGAACAGCCGCTACAATGGCGACTATAAGAATCGCAGTCACAATGATTCCAATCATCACACAACGTCGTTTTTGTGATCTGGTCTTTAAACTTCTGTCCATACTGTAGTCACCTTTACTTCTGAAACAAAGAATAGAAGTCCCTATGAAAAAGATAGTCAACTGTAAAGTAATTTCTCTGTCAAAAGAAAACTTTTTAAAACTCAGACAACGGTTTTCATAGAAACGTGAAGCGATAGAAAATGATTGGGGTTAAGATGGCGTATGTTATGAAAACAATTAAATTCTTTAAATTAAAAGAATTTTCCTCAGATAAAAACTCTGGAAAATAACTTTTCTGAAAAAAAAATGTATCAAAATCAGTTATAGATTTTACCGGAATATTGCAGATGAAATGAATATGTTTAAATGGTCTTCAAACACAGAAAGGTAATGCATTTTGGAGACCTCGTATTTCTAAGCTTAAGCATCTTTGTCTTTTCAGGTATTGTGACAAGCCATTAAGATACATCTAATATCCTTATCATCGCTAAGTGTGAAAAAATTTGAAATAAAGGTAGCAAAACGCATAAAAAGTGCACTTTGGACTTTAATATTAAATACCACATCACTATAACTGCGCTTAATACTTAAAAGCAAAATAAGAAAGTGAAGGTTTTGCTCTCTTGCATATAAAGTACTGTTATGTGAATTAAAAAAAAATATTTTAGTATTTTGTGTAAGAATATTTAGTAGATTTTATAAGTATATTTTAATTGTATTTTATATTAGTATGTTTTGATATTTTGTATTAGTTTATTTTGATATTTTGTATTAGTGTATTTTAGTATTTTGTATTTAAGACAAAAGCTGATTCTTTTCGTTTAATATCTACTTTTATATTATTTCACAGTCAATGTCTCTTACATCCTCTGAAATCTCATGATTCAAACACATCCTTTTTAAAAAGAAAAAACATCGTATTGAAGTTCAAGGTGTACAGTGTATTTTAATGATAAAAAGCGGGTGTAACGGCATCTTAAAGTACTCAAAACAATTAAATTGTCATATCCAGATTACAGAACAAACACGCCTTAAATAGCCGGGTACTATAACCGGGATTTATAATCAAATACTTCAAAATAACGAATGTTACTCTATCCATTTCCGGTCAATATCCGGTTTTAGTACATACATGTATACCCGAAGAATATCTTGTTATTTTTCGCGCATTCATGAAAACTATATGTAATCAGTTTAAAAGCTTTTTAAACGTGTTTTGGGTATGAAATATTTTCCATTAAAATTGTAATATTCTACCGCAAACAATATTTTATGAAGTTGTTTATATGCATTTAATTGATCATACTTAAGTGAGAAAATACTTATCAATGGGATGTTAGGTAAGGATTTCAATAGTGACTCATATCCAGTATAAAGAAAAACATAATGAGAAATTGAAGCACAAATGTACCCGTCTTTACTCGGCCGACAAAATATCAAAAGTTTTGTGAGTTGTCCAATATTTAGAAAATTCTATTATGAATGTCAATTTCGTTTAGTTGTCAATTAACAAGAATGGTGTGCTTCAATAATTACAATTATAAAATAATTTTCTCTAGGTCAAAGCCAAATGTTTCCCCATACAGAATGATATATAGAAAAGCAAGCGGGGCAAATATAATATGGCCCTGACCTCTCGGTCGGTGTGGGGGTGGGGGTCTTCCGAAACATGATTTAGTTCATACACTCTTATAAAAATGTGTCGCTTGATACATGTTTAACACTGGGACAAGAATCGGTTGGGTTTTATTTCCATTTGTTTAAGTTTCTTTTTTCCAGTTTTTTTCCAGTTTTTATACATTCTGATTTAATTCTAGAAATATTATCAGGTCATAATTAGGAGGCAGTCGCCAAATCAAGTATAGTGCTCTAGGATTTTAGTTTGAATCATTGTATTATGATAGTCGTAAAAATGTTTGTCAGGTGATAAGATGTTTCAAAGCGATACTTATTAAAGACAAAAAACAACGTATTTTATGTTTTGATTTGGACTGGGGAAATAACTATCAGTTTTGGATAAATCTAAATATCAAATCAAAGTACTTGTTGCAAAGAAGAGACATCCGTATTAACCTCTTAATATGTTTAAACATTTTTCTTTCTACAATCTGTTTAAATTTAGAAAAGTCCCAAATAAATCACATGATCCAACCATTTCAAAGCCCCATGCACCCGATTAGAATTCATAGAAGTTTCCGTGTAATTATCATGCATTTAAATGAAATTCATGTTGATGAATACATTTTCGGTTGAAAAAAAATTAAATGAATAGATTACCGTGGTTGAAAATGTCCAAACTGATGATCACTGTCGAATGGTCCATTTTTCGATGAAGAAAACGGCATCCCCTGGTCATCCTTTGCATCAGAAAAATACGTTCCATTGTTATATATAGTATATTGATTGCCTGTATACGCCTCTGTTTTACTGTTCTGAAATGGAAGACAGGTTTATATAAACTAGTTTGTTTGTATCTGGTTAGAAAAGAATAAGTTTAAATATGATATATCACTTGCTCTGAAATGTAAGACAGGTTTAAATTGTATAAAGGTCTCAACGTTCGGTAAATTTTAGTTGTGCAACATCAGAGCTGTATCAGTACTAATGGTGTAGTACTTAATTACCAGTACCAGTACTTGCCAAGTTATGCTGTACCATTACCAGTGCCAGTACTAGATTTTAGCTCGGAACTGCAATACCAGTATTTTTGGGGAGGACGTAATTAAGTACCATTACTTTTGTATATTCATCAAAGTTTAATAAATACACAGTGTCAAACAAAATAATTGCAAACATTATTCAGCAAAGAAATAAAATCATTATTTACTTTAAAGTTAACATTATATTTTTTACAATTTTAATGATTTAACATACTTTTTACAAACAATATTTGCAACATATATATTATTGCTTTTGTAACCAGTCAACTGTAATACATACAATGCAATCATCTTTCATTTAAAACGTACAACATTAATTAAAGATAAAATAGTACAATTTACAAAGTAACACAAAACTTGCATTCAGACCGTGTGAATCATCATTTTACCCTTGCAATATTTCGACAGTGTTACTTTAAATGTTATATTTTTTGGTAATAACCAAGCAACAATTGTTCTTGAATTTCATTCATTAAAGAAAAAAAAATTGAAATATGTCCCTTTGTCATCGTGGAAGGTCTGTACAGCGATAGATAGAACATATCGTGTAAAAATAGTATTGAAGTTTACGAATTCAAGAAATAGTAGCATTCACACAATACGATTTGCATGTACATCTAAGTTTTAATTGGTGTTGTTCTTCGAAATCCTTCCTTCTGCTAATGCCTTAATCTTAGGTCGAAAACTGAATAGGTTTATATATAATGACGAATGATGAAATATAACATTTTGTTCCAGAAAAAAAAATATTATCTACAAAATACATGTATAGATAATTCAGCCATAATTCGTTACAATAAAACATAGTTGGGTGTACAAAATTTTATAAGATGAGGGGAATATAAACCTGTCTAATCCGAACTCGTCCGGACCAGAAGAAAAGTTCGGATTAGAAAGGTTTCTGGATTTGAAGGGTTGTTTTTACTTGTTTGTTCATGTTATAGGCAGAATAGTTTAAGGAAAGAAAACGGAAATACATTTGAAATTGCAATATAAATATTTTATTTTTGCAATATCTTATCTCTCATTTTACATGTAAATACAAAAATGTACTGACTAAATAGCCTATATATCTGTGCTTTATGAATCTGCTGATTCATTTTGCATTTGTGATATGATTTGGTTAAATAGTTTTGATAACAATAAGCCCTATCCTCTATCTGCAAACACGAAATGCATATCAACTTTCATTGTACTAAAATAACATACATTTAATACATGGCGCGATAAAATTTATTTCAAGAAAAACTGCTTTTGTGGTTAGGTTTAGATCACACAATACAAGAATCGGCTAAGATATACTGTATATGTCATACTTTTAGTTCATAACCACGATAGTATTTTCTTTCAAATTAATGACTCCATTCAGAAAAAAATGTCATATCTTTTATACAATATGGAAGAGTTAGATATAAGAATTCATTTTAATCATGTAAACATAGCATTTTTAATTATTTGGTAGTAACCAACTAGGTAGTTGATAATTTCGAACTATTTAGATAATTTATATTGCAGCGTGGTATTCACCAAGATTACAAAAACGTTTTATTTAACTGCTAATTACTGGAGAGGTCATCAGACCTCTCCATAGCTGCGTATCAAATTGAAGCTAATGTATCGCATCATAAGAACCAGTCTACAAGAAATGTTATGCGCATGCTCCGTTTAAAAAAACGACTTAACTTAAACGAAACATTAACATCGAAATGAACAAATTGGTACAAGAAAAAATCGGAAAATATCATTTACTTTACTTAATACTACGAGCATGGTACATTCCCTTTTAAATCATTTGAAGCGTATAAATCGATATTTGTTATCTGAATAGCATTTTACTATTTCATGTTCCGAAAAATAGTAACAGTGAACATTATAGCAACAATATCAACATGCACTTTTATCATGGACTTTTATATGAGTGAATCGTGTACCATAATTTTGATGCTCCTTTAACTTTTGAACCGGTATGACTAAATTACGCAACGGAGATCTTTTGGCGCACATGACACAATTTTTTCTCAATTTTGATTTTCTTGAAATATTGTGGTTAGAGGCATGCAGCTGTATATACTGTTTATTACAATCAAATGATATATACATTTTTATGTAAGTCTGGGACTTAAAATTATTTGATAAACATACTTTATGCCCGTTTGGCAGAAGAAATGTTTCCACATAAATCGAAAATTTGATTAATGAATTTTAGAAGAAACTTTTATTTTGTTACTTCTTTTAATAGATATCATTTATTTTAAATTTAGTTTGATAACATAACAAATTGCTCCCTTTTTGTGGAAAATTATTCCTGATGCGCCAAGATAACTTTAATTTCTCCGGCAAATAATCTTTCAAAACATTAAAACAGTGAAGTGTAAAACAAACATTTAGTATGATAATATAATGAATTTATATAATAAATTCTATTTGTTTAATAATTGTAATTTATAAACATTCATTGTGCCTTTTATGCAAAAATATCTCCAAATATTTTCGAATTAAACAAATCTGGCACAGCTGCAAGAAGACCCCGCATGCTTCTTTTTAAAGAAGAATAATTGTTTTAATCGTATTAAGACAAAACTCATCTTACATCCTGTTATAAGACAGCGCTCTAATACTTAATGAAATTAAGGCGTGGCTAATTACAAATGAAAGGTGTAATATGACACATTGTAACTACATAAATTGTTTTCAGTTTTTTGTTGTTGTTTGTTTGTTTGTTTGTTTGTTTGTTTTTTGTTTTTTCTACTTGTTACTGATAGTAGTTTGTTGTTATTTTTTTTTTTTTTATTTTGTGTGTGTGTGGGGGGGGGGGTGGTATTTTTGTGCACAAACTCAGCTAGCCTCGTCGCTTTTCGTATCTAAAATATTCGGAATGCCCCACATAATAATAATCATGATTTTTCTTCAATATTAATTATATGTGCGAGATGTTTAGTTAGTAAGAAATTTAGTTAATATTTATACTGTTCTGATCGAAAACGAAAAACTACCTGTAACCTTAAAACGCTGCTTTTACCAAAACTTTATTGGCAACTTTTAGGTTTTTCATTAAAGGTAACTACAAAGTAAAAAAGTAACCGTTCATCTAGAATTACGCGTTTTGCTTAACTCCGTGTGAAAGAAATATACCCATCTTAGGTATAATACTAGAGATTGTAAAGATAATATCAACATTGTATAAAATACACAATCAATAAAAATTATATTTACCAATTCAGGATGTTCTAGACTATATCCCTTTTTCTTATCCATGTTTTCGTTTTTAATTAATCTAATTTTGATTTTATCCTAGTTTTGAACTTTATCCTTCTTTTAGGAAGTTGGCAGTCCTATACGGTGTGATATTTGTATTTATAAAGATGCATAAACATATGAAATTAAACATAAAGACGTGCCTTGAATATACAACCAATTATGTAATGCACACCTTTAACATTTGAGTCATTTGATATTTATCAAATATCAATCCTTTAAATTTTATAGTTCAAGTCAAGTCAAAATGCTTCTTGAGTTCATGAACTTTGATACTCGAATTTGATTTAAGCTATGCTAAGCTATTAAGGAATCTTAATTTTTCTTCTTATACAAAATGTCTCAATTTTAAATGATAATTATATTAAACATATCCCGTTTCATTGATTTTAAAAATAATGTTGAATGATAAAGACAAATCCATTAGATTTTAAAATATCATTACTGATATTAAATGCATTATCCTCATTTCAAGTAATTCTGAAAATAGCAAACATCTTATTTTTCAATGATTCTTATTGCATTAAATACTGATTTCATTTGAAGAAAATCTCAAAATTTACTGACTATGATATTACAGAACAATCTCATTTTCACTGATTTTAATTTTATATTAAAGTCATATTGAAGTATAAAAGAGTTCATTTTGCAACGATCAAAGAAGGAAAAGAAAACCACTTTTAATAAAATAATTATGATTTACCAAATGAGCCGCGTCACGACAAAACCAACATAGTGGGTTTGCGACCAACATGGATCCAGACCAGCCTGCGCATCCGCGCAGTCTGATCAGGATCCATGTTGTTCGCTGTCAGTTTCTCCACCAAGAACAGAGTTGGTAAGCGAAAAGCATGGATCCTGATCAGACTGCGCGGATGCACAGACTGGTCTGGATCCATGCTGGTCGCAAACCCACTATGTTGGTTTTGTCATGACGCGGCTCAGAAGTTCTTGAGCAATGATGGAACTCGAAATAATTTTCGAGATAAAAGTTACATTTGATTTAAGTCTAGACTAAAATAACATGTGTGCAAAACTTCTGATCATTCGCTTATTCGCTTTTTCCAGATTATTCTGAATTTGAAAAATGACCCAAAATCTAACAAAGCTTTTCACTGTAGTCTGGCTAAGAATAGCACAAAAATACGATTTTCAATATATGTCTGGGTTTATTTACAGTTTCTTTAGCATATCTTTCTGTGCCCCCAGCTTTTCTATGTAAGAATTTCAAATTTAGGTTTTAATGCTTTTATACCTCAGCTGAGTTCCTTTACCTCCATTATTTCTGTTATATACTATTATTGATATTTACATGGATTCTTTTGATTTAAAGATGAAAATATCTCTACCAAATAAATTTAAACTTCGGAAGTCATGGGGAACATTTATTTAGTTGAAATGAATTTACTCATGATCCAATCTGTTGAACTGAATTTATTTTTGATCAAATTCGTTGAAATGAATTTATACTTTATTAAACACTCTCGAATAGACATTTATTTTTTATTTCTAAATATTTTAGGGTCTTGTACATAGAAGTCATGAAAGAACGAAATAAATAATAATAATAATAATAATGACAATAATAGTAATAATAATAATAATAATAATAATAATAATAATAATAATAATAATAATAATAATATTAATAATGATAATAATAAGAATAATTATAATAATTAGTAATCATAATTATAATAATAATAATAATAATAATTATGATAATAATAATAATATTAATAATAATAATAATTAATAATGATAATGATAATAATAATAATAATTAATAATAATAATAATAATAATAATTATTATTATTATTATTATTATAATTATAATAATCATAATTGATAATAAAATTAATAATAAGAATAACAATTACAATAACAATAAATAATAATAATAATAAAATGATAATAATAATAATTATAATTACTATAATATAAAATCTTTATTTCAAGAAAGTAACATTAAACGTAGGTGTTAAGAGTTAATGAAACTAAAATACATCTTATTTACCTATGGCTTTCAAAAAAAGTTAAAAATTCATCACAATAATATAACAATAGATTAACAAAAATTTAAGTACTTAGGCCTCCATTCATCATTTATTGGTTTCATAAAAAAATGATTGTTTTTATGACAGACACTCATGATTATTATAGATGATGTAAACGATTTTAAGAATCGTCCTTAAGAAAATGTTTATACTTTATATCTGTAATGAGGTACTTGATTTTATTCTTTACGGAATATAAGTCTATATTTTCATACTGCAGAACGAAAATGTATCTTTAAGATAGTAAGTATATGGTCTGATTGAAAAGATCAACATAGATACTTTAGCACCGTATCAAACAGCAAACTGGGCGGGAATGCCTGGTGCAGTGAGATAAACCTATGAAAAGACAGTTTCCTGGATGATGCGATAAGAAAAAAGATTGTCTTTTTTATAAGATGAGCATGTTTCTATCAGTTTAATCATTGTTCATGGTGTTTGCATAGTGAACATGGTATTACAAGCATTGTATATAACAAAAGCAATGTTCTGGTGTTTAAATAGTGTACATGGTATAGTGAACATTGTCTTTGATGTGAACATGGATTCATGGATAATGTACATAGTAAAGTGAGCTTTTTCTATAATGTTAAGCAGTGTTCATGGTGTTGCAAAACTGTACATGGTAAAGTGAGCATTGTCAATGATGTAAATCAGTGTTCATGGTGTTGCAAAAGTGTACATGGTAAAGTGAGCATTGTCAAAGATGTAAAGCAGTGTTCATGGTGTTACAAAAGTGTACATGATAAAGAGAGCATTGTCTAAAATGTTAAGCAGTGTTCATAGTGTTACAAAAGTGTACATGATAAAGAGAGCATTGTCTAAAATGTTAAGCAGTGTTCATGTTGTTACAAAAGTGTACATGATAAAGAGAGCATTGTCTAAAATGTTAAGCAGTGTTCATGGTGTTACAAAAGTGTACATGATAAAGAGAACATTGTCTAAAATGTTAAGCAGTGTTCATGGTGTTACAAAAGTGTACATGATAAAGAGAGCATTGTCCATAATGTTAAGCAGTGTGCATGGTGTTGCAAAATTGTACATGGTAAAGTGAGCATTGTCAATTATGTAAATCAGTGTTCATGGTGTTTCAATTGTGTACATGATAAAGAGAGCATTGTCTATAAAGTTAAGCAGTGTGCATGGTGTTACAAAAGTGTACATGTTAAAGTGAGCATTGTCTATATACAAATTGTACATAGTATTTGGTACATAATGCTTGCATTGTCTATAATGTTAACAGTGTTCATGGTATTTAAATAGTGTCCATGGTATACTGAGTATAGCGCATAACATAGGCAGTGTTCATGTTGTTTAAATAGTGTACATGGAATAGTTAGCATTGTCTTTATATAATTGAAAAATCAGGTATAAATTTGTAAGCCTGGGCTTTATGTTTACAAATTTGCATTATTATTAGGTAATTATGTATGGCAAGGATGAAGACCAGAAATAAACAGGTCAATGCGTGCGAATTGTCAAATAACTTGGAAATTTCACTGAAAACTGCAAAATTTTAAACAAGAGGCAATGTAAAATAGACTATGAATTAGTTTTTGACACACATAATACAAGATGTGAGGCAACCTTAATCATAAAGTTTAATTAAGCACCTAAAACACATTTTTAAAAGATGAAAATTACCATTTTTGACGAGTGATTTTGTAGTTAATACAAAAATTTTCCGACAAAAACCGTGACAGTTATCACAAGAACTCCTTACTAATTATCATAAGAGCTCCATCCCTCGAGTAACACCCCCCGTGTTATTAAGATGGTAATTGTCACTAGATTAAAATAAAAAGTTATGACATCCTAGTGCACTTTTTAATGAGCAATCTAAATAATATCTACATGATACTTATTAAATAGTTGATGTGAGTAGAGTAGATTGCACGGTTGTAACAAGAAGGTAATGACAAGAATTTTTGTAAGAAGCAAGTTGTAAATAAAGGAGTAATTATCCAAACTGTGTACGTGTAACAAAAATCTCAAATTTTAGAGTGCCATTGTGTACTTTTTCAGATTAGAATTATTCAATTGTTTGACTGTGAGGCCAAATACACGTATCAATGGCTCTAGTGCGGAGGATGATCGTGCGACCACATACATGAATTTAGCTTTTTAGTGTGAGACAGCATACACGCATTAATGGTCCTAATGCGAAAGCTGATCGGGCGACCACATACTCGCATTAAGGGTTCTAGTGCGAAAGATGACCACACAACCAAATACACGCATCAAGGATTCTGATGCGAAACCCCAGTCACGCATCAAGGATTCTAGTTCAACCACATACACATATAATACACAAATCATGCCAATAATTGCCTGTTAGAAAAGAAGATACCCGTCATATCCTAATGCATAGCGTTATTATGGATGTGATTTTAATAAGATTGATTTACTTTTAACCCGCTCAAAATTTTAATAACTGGCGAAACGAATCAAAAATAAAATGTTAGTATATTAACTCAATGGACAAAAAGTTCACAGCAATAACATAACCAAAATTATAACCCACTTGTAATCTTCATATCATTGGCGCCTGTACAACGCGGTGATAATTTTTTTTTCATATGCACTCTCAATGTTCGTAACGAATGGATCTTGTTTATGACTGGTTTTATAATGAAAAACAAACATCTTGGGTTAAATAACATACCTATTATTCTTTATTTTAGTCTCATTCATATATAATCATATATTTACGAATCAACAATACAAGATCAATCTATTGCAGATCTATAAAAGACTTGTCATTTATTAAAACAATTCGCCTTTTAATTTTTTTAAAATCCACTCTGTACATAAATTATGTATTGCAAAATTTTAGTCATTTTGGCTTAAAAAACATGTTCGTACATTTAGCATTCATATTTATACCGCAGACTACGTATAAATATTAAAATAAAGATAACCGTTACTAAACAAATGTGTTACAATAGTGTTTCTCAGACGCTGAATATAAAAGAACAATTACCGAGAGGTTCATGTAAAATACCTATCTTAAGCAACATGAAATGTAATTAGTCATGTGACCAAAACGTAATATCAATGTATATTATAAAGTATTATTGACTGCGCGTCCTTCATTCTACATTAAAAAGTGAACAGGACACGCGGTAGTGAAATTTTTCAATTTTACAAAATGTGGGCTTCTATTTTCTTTGCCGTCTGCTGCGCTAATTTGGCGGGAAGTGTTATTTCAGGTACTATTTGATATATTTTATTAAACTGGAATGTTTTGTATAAAAGAAAATTCTTATTAAGACATTTCAAATTTATCCTGTATGTTATTAAAATAAATTTCTTCACTTAAACATATTTTAGATAATGGAACATTTATTTATCCGTATCTAAGTTTTTCTGTAATATTAAGGAATAAATAAGTTTATAGTTTGTTACAGAAGATAAATACTTGAAAGAAACATTTTACAAAAAGGAGTTTAATGCGCCTCTCACACATTTGAACAGAACTTTTATTTTTGGATTTGTACAAAGTGCATATTCATATACAAAATAATGTTCATGTAACATGTATTTCAGTGCAATCAATATAAACCAATAATATAAATAATATAAAAAATAAGTGTAATGAAACTTAAGTTGATTGTTATTAAACCTCAGTTAAGTGATCAGGACATTTTATCTAAAGAATCGCTAATAACACTTTTGATACAGTCGTGTCATTTTGTCTACTTATTTTTCGTCAAAATGTTACAGATGTGTACTCAATATTTGTAATAAGCTTTTTCTAACAAAATTGATACGCGTAAATAATGGAACTAATTGAAACTTGAACACTATATATATATTTCCCCACGTATGTCTAAGCTAGCATTCTTTACCTTTTTTAGCCTGAATGCACTTCTGGCACTTTTAATATAAATATACATGTATTTTGATTGTTTCAATGTCGTGACTAACTTGCAATTTTAGAAGAATGTTCAAACTATCAGGCACAAACTCTGGAAAGATTTATTAGGGTAGAGATTGATCTAAAAGCTGTGAAAAATCATTGTAACGATTATTGAGAAAAAGACAGGAAAAGAAAAGAACGAAAGCAACGTCAAACTCGCCGAACTCGCTGAAAAAATGGACCTATTGCAGCACAATATGAACAGTTTAATTAAGAACGTAAGTTCAATTCAGTTTGTTGTCAGTGAATACAAAATATATCCCGCTAAGTAAAATTGTTCTATCCAATAAAAACAATGAAAATGAAAGACGTTGCATAACTCTAAATTATAATTTGTTCGTGAAAATTTGAAACATTTTAACCTTTGTTTACTAAACTTTGATTTAAATCAAAGTGCTGCAGCACTGAATGCGACGGACATGCAACCGGAGAGACATTAAGACTTCTTTTAGAAAAAACAACACAAAACACAAAACACAAAATATATAACAGAGAAAATTCGTTCCAAACAAGTTCGAGATTTGTAGAGCAATATATTTTGTGTCCCAATTTACTGATATAATTCAGATTTTCTACTTTCAAGCACTTAAATACAGAATGAAATTTATGCCTAAAAACTCATTAAAAAAATTTTGGTTAAAATCATCAGCAATTAATAGTGTATTTTTTAGATTTTTTTTATTTACAAGGTAAAGATGTAGAGGCCAGAGCACATCGTTTTTATTTTAATTTAAATGTCACTTAAGCACTACAGTGTTTAGTTGTCCTTTTCAATTTCACACTAAATTCCATTTTCAACTTGTTTGCTTCTTACAATTGTATAGAATTTCTAAAAGTATTGGTTTATTACATGTATAATGTGTACTCCCTAATCGCCTGTCAAAAAATCAGAACAGGTGAAGCAGAATCTATTTTTAGAAAAGCGAAGGTTAACTCATATCATGACCTAGAAAAATATGTAAACAAACCACAAGAATCGGAAGTAGAACTGATATTATAACTTTCTTACCATGAAAGACTACATGGCGGTCAAGTGTTGAAAATTAAACTCTCTTCTTACATGCATTTTCAAAAATAGATATTTATACTAACCATTGTACTGTATCTAAGATATTAATAACTGCTGAATATTCAGCCAAACCCGCGGTATGAGTCATGAAAATAGTTCTTTTTTATTAATGCGCGAGTTATCCTAGAGTCACGAAAAACTTTTGATTAACTTTCGATTTGTTAATAATAATGTTTTGTAGAATGAAGAAATATTTATTTCCTACTAATAATGTCTTGGAACTCAGAGGTTACACCTTTATTGTAGTATAATTTGCTGTCCTACTTTTTCGACAGCGGTAAATCGTTTCGGCAGTAATTTGCATATTGCGCAATAATACTACGGGACTACAACGTTTTTATCAATAATATACGTTCATATTTCAACTTGGATAACTTAATTTGAAATTGAAAAGGCTAAATATGGAAGATTTTAAGATATCCAGACAAAGTATGGGAGTTTTGAAGGATCAAATTCATGTACTATTTCTTGGGCTGTTAATCGGTTTAGGACACACTGCGCGATTGTAGCCAACGAATTCCCATGTAGATGACTTAGCTCTGAACGCGCCTGAGGGCGCGTCCGTCGCAAAAAGCCTTCTAAAAGCTACTGTTGCCGTGTAATGTCCCCTCATTCTTTTAGTGGATTAGCTTTTTTATTATCATCATATTTATCATTTCATGATCAATGTTATCATTTTTATAATAATAATCATTATCAAAGTTAACATTTTTTATAATAATCTTAATTATCATTAATTTTATCATTTTATTATCATCATCATCATCGTTATCATCATCATCAATGTTTTTTATTATAATTAATATCATTATCATCGTCAGCAATGTTATCATTTCTTATTTAAATCATCATCATGATCATCAATATTATATACTATTATCATAATCATCATCATCATCATTGTTGTTTTATCATAATAATAATTATCATCATCATCAATGTTAACTTTTTTATTATAATCATTATCATCACTATCAATATCATTTTATAATTATAGCAATTAGCACCATATCAATAAAAATCATCATCATCATCAATGTTATATTTTTTATAAATATATCATTTAAGAAATAATATATCCCAAACAGTGATTTTATCGCTGTTTGGAGTTCGGATGCGAGGAAATATATCACGAGGGCGTAGCCCGAGTGATATAATGATGCGCATCCGAACGACAAATAGTGCTTTTATCAAGCGATAAAATCACTGTTTTGGATATAATATTTCAATTCTAACACGACATCAACACATAAATGTTGCCGTATTTGATAGTTAAGCAAATTTGCGCCTGATTTGTTTCCGTAGTTATTTTCAGCGCGTCGGATTTTTAGTGGTTACGTCACGTGTATAATGATTACGTCACATGTCTAAATATAGAACGTCAAACTGTGCATCTGTTGCATAATAACACTCACTTTCTGTTCGTCTATGTTCAATAGGGAGAATATCATTTTTACCATAGATATATAGAGGATATTTGTTTAGTTCAGTGTAAGATCGGAATATATTTCACCGAGTGAGGACCAAAAGGTATATTTCACGAGTGGCGCAGCCACGAGTGAAATATGAACTTTTGGTGTTCACAAGGTGAAATATATTTCAATCTTACACTAAACTAAACAAATTTTCTTTTTATTATATGCAAAGAAACGTTTTAAAAGACATTTAACCTAATACTGAATGAAAAGCGCGCCAAATAATAATACAACGTGACGTCATTTACGACGTCACGTCATTAAGTTGGTACCCAGTACTGTGCACGCTGGTATTTCACTGAAACAACGTAAGGGGCTTAAATTCAAAACAGTGAAATTATCAAAGTGGTAATTTCACTGTTTGAAACAGTGATATTACCAGTTTTATATCACTGATATATTTCTATAAACCACCGAAAAGCATGTAATAATATGTTCTAATATTGAAATATTCGTGTTCGAGCGGATACAGGTAACCGAAGGAATAGGCAAGAACGAAGAGTTATTCCATGAGACAGTATTGCTCATAACACAATACGATGTGTAGCGACGTTGAGAATTCAGGATGTACACGGATGACATGTAAATGTAAACCTGGTCTGAGTTACCGTCATGGTGATAAATATGCTGATAATAATAACAGCTAATCCACTGAAAGACTGAGGGGACATTACAAGGCAACAATACTTTGGTGACAAAACGACAGTACGATAGAGAAATACGACAGTACTGTTACCCTCATACTTTAGTACTGTCACCATCGTACTGTCATGTTTCGCGCTTTCTGTTCTTACAGAAATCGCGCTGGCCCTAACGGAACACCGTATTAATGTTCGTTTGGAGATTTTTAAGGTATATAACTTATTACACAGGTTTCCTGTATACAAGAGGAGAAACTTCTCAAGAAAACAAGTTTGATGAGACAATTTTGTCAAACAAACAAAACGTGCAGTGACGTCGAGAATTCAGAATGTAAATGGATGACTTGTAAATGTAAACCTGGTCTGAGCTACCACCATGACATGAGAACGTGTCTCACATGTAACTCTTAAACAAAATCTATTTCAAGCATTCAAATCATAATCTTCTTAAGACATGCTCTTAACGAATGTGTATTTTGTCGTCCGTACATTTACAAGCTATACATATATGAATGTACATACGAGGTTTAAGACAGGAAAAGACACTTTATTATATCCTTATACGAACAATTATCCTCCATATCTTTTCCTTAAACTTTATTTTTGTTCTTTATAATTACTTGAACACGTGTTACGATATTTTGTATTCATTGTATGGAATAAAAAAAACACCACTTCACTTGAAATTTTAGAATTTTTTCATCTTTAATGTTTGGTTTTTAAATGAATTTTAATTTCAGACTGCGGAGATCATGGGTATGGTAACACTTACCAAGTTGAAATAGACGCAGCAATAACAGATTTTAATGATAAAAGAATTACCTCTATTTCGTTAGAAGATTGTGTCCAAAGATGCACTATGGAGCAACGCTTCGTATGCAAAACCGTAGAGTATGAAAAGGCGAATAAAGTTTGTCAATTGTCGAGAGAAACTTTGTATACAAAGGCAAAGTTTTACGAAAAGGCTAACAAGGATTATATTATCTATATACCAGAGATTGCAACTAGTCTTGAGACTCCAAAATATATCTAGTATAATTTTGTACCATATGATGAAAGTCTATACCAAAAGCTTGTTTGCACCATTTCCCATCATTCGCGCACTTGTATTTCCAAGCATAATGATTTTTGTTGGGCAAATTTACTCAAAAGTTTCAAGCGCTTCAACACTATTTTCATTCGAATCAGATAAAGAATCGCACATTAGTGGTATTCATTTAATTCATTCTGCGTTTTTCTTTCTTAATCATCTTTCGCATGTTATACTGTCTTAAGCGCCCAAACTGACCTATGATATAAGATACTTTTTAGACCACAATGAACTCCTTTAAATCGACAAATACATCAAATAAGACAGATTTTCATTTAAACTCGAACATTGAAAAACTATGCCAAGGGCAGGTTACTTTGGATAACTGTTAGCGCAAGTAATGTAAATTGCAATTGTTAATACATGACAAAATTAAAAACACTCAACAACTTAAGATGTCATATTCTCAGAGCCACCTACTGGCATTTTCAATAAACGAATGTAACAGCAAATAAAGAATAAGACAAAAATACTTCGGTTTAAACTTTTTTCCCTAATCTTATATAAACCAAGACAGAATTTCAACAACTTCAAGCATCTTACACCCATACCGCAGAACACTTGACTCTTAATTATATCCTCTTGAGTGTTCTTTATGTTAAACAATGATATCTACGTGGTGTGATATCTTCCTTATACTATTTGCATTACAGTGTTTATTCTGATTTATATACACCAGTCGCGACATGTCACTATGGATAAAGAGAATTACTTGGAAAACATCTTGGAACTGGAAACAAAATATCAATCAAAAGAATAAATGTGATTATTGTTTAATTACTTCAAGTATGTAAGCCCTGAATGTTTTATGTGTTGCAACGACAAAAGTAAAGTTTCATTTGAATAGATGACTCATGATTATCCTTTCTTTAATAATCTAATCTAATCTCTTTCTTTTGATATATAGAATACGACTGAGCGAGTGTTTGTGTCATGGGGGTCAAGGTTATCCAAACAAGTTTATCAGCGCAGTTTAACTGCGGAATTATCTCAACATTGGATGTCTTTTGTATATTTTTTTTGCGGCAGCGAAAACAACTTGAAATCAAAGGGCTGCAGCTCTATGGTATGTTCTGACGTTTGCACTCTAAATCATACTGACTATCTTTAAGTAAATATTTTATTAATGTGTCATATGTAAACATACAAGCAATGAACAAACAAGACATGTATAAACAATAGTATACACCCGGCCCAATGGGCCTATAAGACACAAACAACATGAAGACAATAAATCTGAAAACACGTGAACAACATAAAAGGTATGTTTAGATTAAAAAAAAGAAAAAGAAGAAAGATCTTATTTATCTTCTAGCTCAAAAGAAATACTAATTTATTCTAAATAGTTTAACCACAAGAAAGTACTGTATAAGAAATTCAATGTTGTCCGTAAATATATTTGACAAATAAGAATCGAATGCACAAAATTTACAAGTTACATTCAAGATTTGTTATCATTTGAAAATGTTGAATTATTATGACAGATTTTTCATAAAATATATGTATCACCAGTTTATAGAACCTTTCACTATGGTTTATCTCAATATCTTAGTATGATTGTAACATCATGTACAAATTAAATACGTTTATTGAAAAGTTCTGAATATGTTAACGTGGTATGATTTTAAGTTCCGAGTACTTAACTTTAAACAATACTAAAACGAAAACGAAAATTTAACATTATTCAAAGTTCATTGATGGCTTATCTTAAATTGTAATCTAAAGATAACTGACCACGTCCCTTTAATGCATTATATCTTATAGTTCATAAAAATCATGCTATACTATTTCTAAGTCGATAATAACTCTAACATACAGTTACTGTGATAAATAAGGGATTATCAAAGATTATAGAAAAACCGTTACGACTGTTCAAACCTTAATGTATATCAATAAAATATGATAATAAAGTTCAGATTACAATGTCATAAAATGTCCTAATACAGTGCAAAAAATAGTAAATAATTAAATGAATAAGTAATCACAGTTTCAGTGTCTATGAAACAAATAGTCTCTACGCCTCATATATGCCGATACTAAGAATCTAGCTAGTTTTCTAGGGTGATTCTGAACAATATGTACAAATTTGTCAATACTATCTGTATGTACTTTCCTGTATAAGTTTATTTTTATATACTATAATTCATCTGACGCAGCGACAGCGTTTTGATTTTCTTCTATAACAGTTTGAGATTGATACATATGGAATTTTGCATGAAAAAAAATAGAATTGCCTCGACTAGGATTTGAACCATAGGCCTCTCACGCCCTCAACAAGACCGCTTACCTCTGCACCACGGCGAAGTAATACATATGTTCCTTGAATAAAAACGAATACATTATGTAATTCTAAATTGAGAATTTCCATTTCGTGTTTGAAATCCTTATTAATTTCGAGGTATTTTGTTCACGATAAACCTGTTGTTTAACACTGATGAAAATAATTTAGCGAAAATCTTCTCGCCAAAACAGTCCGACATGTATATATTCCACTACTCGACAGTCAGATTTATTTGTGTACTACGCTCTGGAGTATTCATTAATCGACATAGCTAAAAATAGCATTTTCATTGATTAAAATGATATTCATGATAATCCGAAGCATTACGGAAATAGCCGAACATTTTTCATTGGGTAAAAAAGATATTCATCCTCGAAAATGGGATTGTAACCTCATATTTCTATTGACTAATCTAAACTTTTAATGCACTGTAATTTGTTAAATGCCTACATTAAAAATTATTCTTTCTTTTAAAATGCTGGTTTTTAGGCAGTTTTGAGTGAGAACTACTTTGCGTTGTTAGGACTGTTACGATCAGAAAATACAAAAACTACCTTATCATAAATAACTGTAATGTAGCTAACGATTTATTTATTTATTTGTTTGTTTCTATGACAAAAAAGAAAACATTACATGTCATTGCGATAAAACAATTATAGTATATGAAACTCGTTAGTTACGGGGGTATAACACTGGCTGGGGTAACATCTCGGGATGTTTCTACAAAAACAAATTGTCTCAGCATAACGGCCTCGCTATTTTTTTAGCAGAAACATCCCTTGATGTCGCCCCAGTCAGTGTTATATCCTCGTCACTAACTCGTTTCATGTACTATAACTATTACATACATAACTCTGGAAATACACAGTTATTCCTTGGGTGTTTTGCTCTGGATAGCTTTCAAGATGGTTTAAGAATATAGAAAACAAAATCGGAGAAAGTTTCTGTCCTTGTTTTACTCGAATTAAAGAGAAATAACATTAGTGGAGGGCACACATGACTTTATATCTTCGTACACATTTCACAGTACTGAAATATTTTCCTATTTATGCCTGTTTTAATAAGATAAAAGAATAGGCCCGAGTGCAAAACTTTATCAAATGTAAAATAAAATACAACATATGATACAAAAAAGGGTTGTTGTTTTTTGAGTTTTTTTTCTTGTTTTGTTTTTTTTTTTTTTTTTTTTTTTTTTTGGTAACCTAAGATCTGTCAAAAATTAATGTGTTAATACATGGTTTACTGTAGAGAACTTTGCTCGGAATCAGGCTTATATCATGAATCACCAGAGTGCATATGTAAGAGTTGTAGATATACATCAGATTACGTCACTTATACTAGATGCTTTAATAGATGTTTTAATTATGATCCGAATTGGCTTTATTAGTAATTCCTTACTGATTTGATACCAAAGTATGACTACCAACTGGCATTAATACAGTTGTTACATAAATAATTATATTTCAGTTATGAACGAAAATTTTGTGTACGTGTTTCACCCCTTTGTTTGAGTTTAGTGAAAACAAAATCTTTAAATGTTTAATAAGGTAGACATGAGTAAAATAAAACAGTATTAAGTTGCAAATTTCACTTCATGTGTATATTTTAATGTACATTTCAGAAAATATACAGTGCAATAAATTGGTTTAAACATATTTATTTAAGCTCGATTGCGAAACAAGTTCTTGCAACTTATATTAATCACTTTCGAGTCCGCTTCCTGGAACCAACCAGTACTAATGTCATATGGAGAAACATGGTCGTGACCCGAGTAGGGCTCTAACCCATGATCTCTGGGTTGAGAGGCAGACACCTTAACAACTATGCCACCGCTCCCCTTGCAATAAATTGGTGTGATGTGACAAATATTGTACACTTTAAATAATTGTAACTCATTTATTCATTAAAATCTTTTTGTAGAATTTAATAGCTGTAATAAAAGCCATGCATATATTTATTGTAATGTTTTCTTTAAGTATGGTGAGCTTAACTAAAAATATATTTTACCCAGTAACTTGTAATTAATTATTACACCGCCGTTTTTCGAAAGTACGAATTACTACATTTTTAAACTCGAAATATCTACCGTGTAAGTAAAATAGCGGGTAAGTACGTGGTTAATTACGGTGTGACATTATTCATTATCTAGAATCAAACGAAAATGGTTACCTTAATCAGTTACCAAGTCATGAACTAGTATTGACACATATTGTTAAACTTATTATATTAAACGTTTTTATTCATTTGACCGCATTTTTATGTTATGTCAATTCAAGAACGTCGCAGTTTTGCTGAAATGCAGCAATTGAGAGACTGCGCTCTCGCAGCGGTCTGTCCACGGCACACCTCAGTTTCTCTTGACTCAAATTTCGTACCACAAAAACTATTTTAAAAAGTTGGAAACAGTCAGAAGTCACATATTGCTAGGTTCGGGGTGGGTGTGGAAACAGTTCGCCGTCGAGTTTTTCAAGTGTATCCATGAAAACGTGGCTTGAATGGCTCGGCGCGTTGTCGTGATGTTATATGAATCCGGACCTAAGTTTTGGCGCTTTCTCCTTATTGCTGCCATTAGTTCCGTTCTAAGTAATGTTGCATGATAGTTCCCAGGGACTGTTGTTTTCGGAGGAACAAGATTGTTCAGCACTACACCGTATGTATCACAGAATTTTATGCCCATTACCTTCCCGGCTGACTTGAAAATTATCGCTTTTGTAGGGAACGGCGAGGAAGGATGCTTCCAGACAGAACTCTGACGTTTGCTTTCCGGTTTAAAAAAATGAATCCACGTTTCATTACATGTAATCACTCGATTTAGAAAGTAATCGCCTTCTTCACGATACCTCCTGTCATACTACTGACAGATTTTAACCTTAACTCCATCTGCTCCGACGTCAAAAAACGAGGCACCAATCTTGCTGAAACGCGGGGCATTCCTTATCTATCAGTCATAATGCCCTGAGTTGTACCATATGAAATAGCGAACTTATCTGCTACGTGTTCCACACTTACTTGTTTATCTCGGAGTTTGAATTTCAAAAATGGCAGTCACTGTTTCTTCATCTGTTACAGTCACTGTTCAACCTGCATGTCTTTCGTCTTCAGATGCCTCTATGCAGAATTTTGGGTCAGAGTAGTATGAGCGCCCCCTTCTAAGATCCCTACCTTACTGGTTATATCTTCTACTGTGTATCGACAATCTTCATTTACAAGTGCCTTAAAATCAGACACTTTCATTCTCGTAACATATTTGTTTGGTCGACCTTTCCTATCTACATCTTTAATGCTGCGTACTACAACATAATTAGTAATTTCCTGTAGAAGATACATGCGTACTACAACATAATTAGTAATTTCCTGTAGAAGATACATGCGTACTACAACATAATTAGTAATTTCCTGTAGAAGATACATGCGTACTACAACATAATTAGTAATTTCATGTAGAAGATACAAATGTTAGAAATACATTACCGAATCTAAGTTTAGTTTGTATCCTTAAATGAAAGGGTCTATATGAAAAGAAGAAATAAATTCTTATAAATGTTATAATGTGCATTATTTCAGGCACGAACGGTTACTTGAGAAGAACCATCGACGTTCTGTAAGCTAGCTGGATAAAGTATCTAAAATGAAAGAATAAAACCTTCTAGTGAACTCATATATTAAGTTATTTTGACGGTGAAAATTAATCATTTCTTAACAATGTTAAGTTAAAGTGTTGAAGGGGTGCTTTAGAATTGCATGATGGCTTGTATCTAGAATACATAAATAAATAAATACATAAATAGCTTCAAGGGAATCTTTCTAAACGGAATAGATTTTTGGCATACGATATATCAACGGTTCACATACAGTGACATACTTTTAAAATTTGAATTTGCAAAAACCTTTATCTTGACAAAAGTGACATTCCCTTACCATCCCAATAAGGATTGTCTTAATAAAGGACAGTAACTGTATTTATAATAGTTTGAAGTAGATGTATTTATTATATACTTGTTTTAAAACAATATGACTTTGTTGTGATTAATGCTCCCGAGGAATCACTTTGTTCAGAATTTTGACGAAGAGAACTATAAATCAGTAAAGGGAAAACTAAACACAAAAACATTCAGTCCAGAAAGTACCAAGTCAATATTAATCATATTTTAGCGTTTAAAACAAAACTAATCATGTCAAACATTGTAAGAAAATAAAAATGTGACAAGTTTTAAACAATTTAAACAACATTTGTTTTGTATCAACAAAATTTTGTTTAAACAGAAGAAAACAGGAAAATAAAATCAGTCACGTATTAGTATTTCTATATGCCGTGTCGTTCACGTGCACCTATTAGTTACGCAAAATAGGGCCTACATCATAATTCTGTATCAGACTTTCTTATGGATTGCTGTCTTTGATATTTTCTTAAAATTTCCAGTGATTATTCTAATTCAATGGTTAAATTATTTGTTATAAACAATAATAATTTGTATGTTTCGTCCTTGCTCCGCCCTTCACCTATTTTTGTTCGGTGCCATACCAGGTACTTAACCGAAGGTGCTTTGTGGCTGTGTTTTGTTGCGGACTACATTCAATGAATGTCGCCTCTCCTTGTTGATATTTTTCTGATATTCTTTGCCTATTAAGTCGGTACAATGCTATAATATTTTAATAAAGCAATCATTATTTTGTTTACAGTCAATTTTGATAGAAAAATATATATTGCATTGATTCCATGCAAAACTCCGACCATATTACCACCCGGTGGAAAATATTGACACCGTGAACAGGCATACCCATAAGTTTCGTACTTGGGTAATGGTCAACATTCAATGCGACTAGCACCTTTATGGCGATAAATACAATATTCCTTTTCAAATAAGAAATATTTTGGCAATTCAAAATGATACAATTTTTCCTTCAACGCGCCTATAGTATATCTTGCGCCCACATTAGCACGTTTTTTTCATTGCATATAATCGAAAATAACGTCACGGTCATAGTGATATTACACTAAAGTAACAACGTTTTCTATTAACACTGCCTGAGCCGTTTATGTGATAAAATAATATGACCATGAAGTGTAAGATACTAATACTGAATCGTTTAAATGAGGTTGAATAAATTATATTATGCTGTCATCTGACGAGTTTAAAACATTTAGTTATGAAGAGGAATAAATACTTTCTAAATATTTTATTTATCACATTCCTCAAAGAAGAGAACTGTTCCCTGCTAAAAATAACATTAATTGGCTCGCTTATGATGAATGTAAAGCAAACATGTTTAAAATGACGTCGCAATAGAATTATATGCACAACCGTGCAATTCCGTTTTATGGAGTTACAAATATAGCGCAGTTATGTGATAAACATGTATACTATAATCTGTTAAAAATGAATAAATAAAAGCAATAAGATATTATTATAAAATAGTCATTTTAGGAAATAGAACACAATGGGGTTTCCTAGGGCGTAACAAAACACATGTCCCAAGTAAAGATAATTGTACTTGGTCAATTCCATTTTGTTTCAGTGATGTATCTGCAATTTGTTAATTTCCCCATGTGGTACCTTCATTTTATTTTTGCGTACAATTATGACATTGTCGAGGCTTTAAAGAGAAAAGTAATGCTGAATTTATAAATGATTTAAATTTCAAATGTAATACAAATAAGAATCTTTTTTCAATTCATTTACCAAATACCGTCTCCAAAGTTTGTTTCATATTTACAATCTGACGACATTTGGTCATATTTTAGTATCCAACGAGCAATAAATGCATAATGCAAAATGAAAAGCAATGACAGTTACCAGCCCTGAGAGAGAGTAAGTAAACAACCCAGCGTTCTTAGGCAGTCTTTCAAGAATTCCACGTTTTCCAAATTCTTAGTCGCTTTTTAATTTTAATTAAGGCATCTGGCAAAAATTATTTATTGTCAGTAACAGTCCTCAAATATATTTTCTTCCTTATAAATAGATTTATGTCTAACAAATGCAAATAGAATCCCTCTGATTCAAACACAATTATTTTTGATTCCTAATTTTTACACAACTTCTACAAATGACGATCGCTTAAATTACAAAGCTGGTTTGATATATACACTTCCGCCTCGAAAAATGGGAAAATGGTTGGCTTCGTGTGACTTTTTCTTCTACTAGAATTGTCTACTAGAACTTTTTTAGCTCAAGATTTCATCATGTATTTATGAGAAATTCGTCTGAACTTGAGGGCTACTGGTGGCGAAAACAGATTATGACGTTCCAGTAAATATTTAGGAAATTTCGTTTAAAATGGTATTTAAGCATGATTTAAATAGAAAATTTAAGTGTTTGTTACTCAATTTCATCTCACGAGTTCTAAAAACAGTATTCTCACGAGTAGCGTGTTTTTATAGTTTACTTGATGAAATATAATTTCACATTACACAAAAACAAATAAATATCCGCTATATGGTACAAGGACAAAAATATTTTCAACACTTTATTCGTATAAGGACAAAACTTTATCTTCAAAGATAAAGTTTGGGATAAAAAAAAAGAAATATAAAGCCTGTTGTATTTCAGTTGTTGAAACTTATTTTGAAAGACCCAGGGTATAAAAAGATAAGTGAAAGACCTAGATCCCTTGAACAAATCTAGCAAAAGATTATATTTTGTTGACTTTTTGTGGGTTTTTGGTGTTGTTTTTCTTTTGTGTTCTTTGCTTTGTTTTGTTGTAATTTTCCTCATTTGAGGTATACGGGTTATCTTTACATTTCGTTAACAATGCATTATTATTTATTTGAATAAAAGTATTATTACGTCTAAACAATAAAAATATACGTACATACCTGTATTTTTATTCTTGTTTGTATAACTAAACCTACATTTTTCACAAAATTGTTATGTTTAAATGAGAAATAGTGTCGTTTTATAAATGGCATAAAGAAAAAGGAAGTACTGATGTTGAAACAATCGTGGATATTGGGAGTACAAACTATACATTTGATCTACAAATTTGATATCTCTTCCATAAATAAAAATATACCAATTTTCTTTCAAAAATGTCCATGTGGTTCTGTTACTTCCATTTCGAAGTTCTATTGATTTCTTTCAAAACGAAAAGTTGGGATATCTATCCTCATAATGAATGCCAGTCATTTTCCCATATGAGTTTCAGTTGGCGACCATGAGTAACTGTTTATCTGATGTATTTCAAGAGGGAAGTAAATATTTGCAGTGATTGCGCTCTTTTTATTGGTTGTTTTAATGGAAAAAAATATTGTGCGTTAAATAATTGCGGGTCCTTCACTACTTTATTTAAAAGTAAACAGGATACACGATAGATATACTTTAACTTTACAAAATGTGGACTTCTATTTTCTTTGCCGTCTGCTGTACTTATTTGGCTGGACACGTTCATTCAGGTATGATTTGTGCTGGTATTTAAATTTTACAAGTGAAATGTGTATATAGGAGAAAGTTTTTACATCATTATATTAGGGCTTAAGCCCACTTGGTCACATTCAATTGCTAAAAAGTTCTTTGGTGGAAGGAATTTAGATGTTTTTTTATATGTTTTCCTTTTCCAAAACTTCCAGTGTTATTTATTGAACGAAAATACTTCGGGATTAAAAACTATTTCGTAGTAAATAAACTTTACTCAAATGAAACTTTAATATGCTCAGGCGCAGAGGTGGCAGTATAACTTGTTTTGCATTTGTTTTATTATTATTTTTATTATTATTATTATTATTATTATTATTATTATTATTATTATTATTATTATTATTATTATTATTATTTGCTGAGGTCAGAGATACGTCGGACCAACACTGTAAATGTAATAGGACAACTGCTCAGCTTTACTGATGGAGGAGTACCTCAGGTGCCCCTCCCTTCAATATTTTAGGCAGACACAAACGGGGAACCTGAGTAGAAAAATCGACGTCCATTAAAATTTGCATTATGCATTATCAAATTTAATTTTAGAAGAACGGCAATGTTCAAGATACCACTACGAGGCTCAAACTTTGGAAAGAATTATCAGGGCTGAGATTGATCTAGTAGCTGTGAAAAATATTGTTACAAATATTGAAGAAAAGACAGAAAAAGTAAAGAACGAAAAGAACGACGAACTGTCAAGACTCGCTGAAAAAATGGACATATTGCAAAAGAAAATGAACAATTTAGTAAGGAACGTGAGTACAAATTTGATTCTTGTCATTGATTATAAAATATATCAAAAAACTTTCTTTTCTAGCTTTATTATAATCTTTATTATTTCATTGATTTTTTTATTATTATTGAAGTGGAAGTAGTAGTAGAAGTAGTGGTAGTGGTGGTGGTGGTGGTGGTGGTGGAGGTGGTGGTGGTAGTGGTGGTGGTAGTGGTAGTGGAAGTTGAAGTGGAAGTGGTAGTGGTAGTGGTAGAGGTAGTGGTAGTGGTAGTGGTAGTGGTAGTGGTAGTGGTAGTGGTAGTGGTAGTAGTAGTAGTAGTAGTAGTAGTAGTAGTAGTAGTAGTAGTAGTAGTAGTAGTAGTTGTAGTAGTAGTAGTAGTAGTAGTAGTAGTAGTGGTAGTTGTAGTGGAAATGGTAGTAGTAGTAGTAGAAGTAGTAGTAGCAGAAGTAGTGGTACTAGCAGTACTAGCAGTACTAGAAGTACTAGCAGTAGTAGTAGCAGTAGTAGTGGTAGCAGTAGTAGCAGTAGTAGTTAGTAGTAGTAGCAGTAGTGGTAGTAGCAGTAGTAGTAGTAGTAGAAGTAGTAGTAGAAGTACTAAGAGTACTAGAAGTACTAGTAGTAGTACTAGTAGTAGTAGTAGTAGTAGTAGTAGTAGTAGTAGTAGTAGTAGTAGTAGTAGTAGTAGTAGTAGTAGTAGTAGTAGTAGTAGTAGTAGTAAAAGTAGTAGAAGTAGTAGTAGTAGTAGCAGTAGCAGTAGCAGTAGCAGTAGCAGTAGTACTAGTAGTACTAGTAGTAGTAGGTAGTAGTAGGTAGTAGAAGTAGTAACAGCAGCAGCAACAGCTGTAGCAGAAGTATCAGCAGCAGTATCAATAGTAGTAGTTGTTGTTGTAGTAGAAGAAGTAAAAGTAGAAAAAGTAGTAGCAGCTGAATCAGTAGCAGTATCAGTAGTAGTCGTAGTAGTAGAAGTAGTCGTCGTCGTCGTCGTCGTCGTAGTTGTAAGTAGTTGTCAGTAGCAGTAACAAGTGGTAGTAGTTGCAGTAGCAGTAGTAGTAGTAGCAACAGCAGCAGCAGTAGCAAAAGAGGTAGAAGTATGGGTGGAAATGTTGATGGTTGTGGAACTAGAAGTGGTGGAAGTCGTCGTCGTGTTGGATGCAGTATGGTTAGTGGTATTGGTAGGGGTTGTTGTGATGGCGTGGGCTGTGGTATGGAAGTCGTTGTGATTGTGGTATTGGGAAGCAGTGTTTGTGGTTGTGATATGGATAGTGGTAGTTTTGGTTGCGGTGACAGACAAAGTAGACGTAGTAGAAAAAGTTACCCTATGTGAAAATATTTGTTTTTCGTATATATAGATATCCGAAACGAAGGTTGCGAAAGAAGGGTCGACGACCAGTTCTATGTGGAAGTTTTGTACATCATGCAAGACGACGTGCAGCGACGTGGAAAATTCAGAATGTAAATGGATGGCATGTAAATGTAAACCTGGTCTGAGCTACCACCATGCCACGAGGAAATGTCTACCAGGTAATTTTAAAACAACTAGAAGCTTGTCCTTAGGAGACTTATCTAGCATACTTACATATATGATGTAAATGTATTTTATAACTTATTTCTCACCAGTTTTTTTATAAGACAAGGATTTTATACTAAGATCAAGTGTAACCTTATCATTTTTGACAAAGATATACTCCGACAGTGTTTCAAAAACAATGGCTTATTCCTCCTCAAGTAATTGACCAAACAAAGACAGGAACTATGACCTTAAACCTGATGTCCTCATTTTGTTAAAAGGTCATCATCTGGCTATTCGCAATGACCTATATTTTTATCGGACAAGGATCCGTACACAAGTTTTACTGTGATCTTGAGTTTTCTTAACCTAACAAGCAATAGGGATTGCATACAGGAATTTGATTTGTTTCAGTTAAAGATTCAGTATCATTCGGTTTTTTCAGTGGACAAGGAATTGTTCATGAAGTGCAACTTTGATCTTCACAAGGGCAATGTTTCATTTACATAATTTAACTCACGTACGTACGTACGTACTACTACATCATATATGCTCTTTACTTGAAGAGCAGTGCATAAAAATATTCCAGCATTTTATTCTTAAGATTTATATTTATAATTTCAAAATGAATTTTGTTTTCAGACTGCGGAGATTTTGGGTATGGTAACACTTACCAAGTTTAAATCGATACAATTTTAGAAGGTTTTAATACTAAAGTAATTCACACTATTTCGTTAGAGGATTGTGTCCAAAGGTGTAATATGGAAAAAAGCTTCGTTTGTAAAACGGTAGAGTATCACAAGCCAAAGCAAGAGTGTCATTTGTCAGTGGAAACTCTTTACACAAAGCCAGAGGTTCACAAGACGAATAAGAATGAATATATTACTTATACCAGAGACTGCAACTAGGACTGTGATCCAAGAATGTATCAAGTTATCTCGACTTGGCTTAATGTTCACTAAAAGAATATTAGGATCGAATTTTTCTGATTTTGTATTCATGGCGTTATAATAATTACGTCAATAAAATAAGACAACAATATTTTTGTAAATATGCAAAGTCAAGACGCTTTTGATTTGCAAGGAATGTCCATATTTTTTGGGATATAATTAGGGAATAGCAAAATGAAAACAAAATACAATAATAAATATATCAATAAAGTTTCAATTTAAAGATGAAGGTAGATTTATATTTTGATCAACTTTTAAATGTGAATATTCTAAGCTTGTTGTAATATTGTAGTTTTACACTGTATTTTTTTAAAATAAAATATCTTCACTTTCTTATCTCCCTATCTCTATGCGAACAGAATGTTAGGCGCAGTGTTAAAATAAGGGAACAAACAAATATGTTTTTTTCGTGGGAAAACGTTACTTGTAATGCCCCTGCTACTTAGGGATGGTGTTATGTATGCAACATATTACATGTATATAATTTATATCTGACAAGTTGGTATTTCCAATATTAT